ATTTGTGTCAAATTATGTCAAGACATTGAGGAGAAATTTGAAAACATCTAGTGGTTATGTTATGGAAGGCGATTGAGAAAACAGTTATAAAGTTTAGCTTGAAATATTGATTTCAGCATTGTCAGGATTAAGCAACAGGAGTTCAGACACTTGAAAGTTGGCATTTTCTAGCAGGCAAGCTTGTAATCCCTCTCTTGAAGTCTGTTACCAATAACTGCTGCTTTGAATGAAAAATTAGCAGAACAGTCCATATAGGTACTAAAACATCGTACATTGTATATAATACTGGTTTGTGAGCAATAGAGAAAATGGAATTATTTGCCGTTTCACTGAAAACTACTTATTGCTGTGATCTGGTATGGAACTGCAAGTGTTACATTTTCTTTGTGCACGGCAAGTAGCATGCAGTTTTTACTGTTGTTGTTGCATCTCAGTGTTGCCTTTGCATTCCGTTGTTTGTATGTTTTCTCTGAAGGTGCCAAGCAGTTGTGGTGAATGGTCACATTGGTGTGTTCTTACATAGGCAGTGTGGTTATATGTAAGCAAGATAATTGCAGCCTGGCTGTTGAACCTCTTCACTGGGTTGGGTTGTTGGGGTTTTATTTTGAGGTCTGCTGTGTACCTTGAAGGTAATCACAATGAAGCAAAGATGGGTACAGTAAATTATTTAATATTCCTGGTGTATGAGTAGCATAGTGATTAGTATTGTGTCAGTATGGTTTGATGCATACGGCACAGGAAATAGAGCAAAGTTCTCTTCAGTTCTACATGTGCCCTCCTGCATGACGTGGCTCAAGACATGTTGCTTCCTTATGCCTGTGTTTTCTCAACCATTGATTTTTTTGGTTTTATTGCCTATTAATACTGAAAACTTCTTGCTCTAGGGACAGGTCTACTTTCTGTGCATCATTTAACAAATCAGGGCCAAAGTCTTAATTCCTCTGAAGCACACAAGGTCTCATGTACTGCAGTTTACTTGTTCTTGTATATAAGCAGTGATAGAGGGCAGGGTCACACCATCTTTTTTCTTTTTTTCTTCAATGTTTTGCCTGCCAGTGCATTTTCATCCCCTTCTTAGCACTATCACTTCAAAGTTCCTCTCCAGTTTTGTCATCTGCTGATGAAGTCACCAGCCAAATTCAGCAGTCGCTACTGTCATGTTTCATGGAGGAAAGATTGGATTTAGCTGATAGGAGTGACTAAAAAATGCTAACTTTATATTCTACTATTCCTGTTCATGAGCTCTGGGATAAATTACATCTTTTTTGAGTGAAGGTTCGTCTTAAAGAATCATAGTGCAGTAAAGGGTGCATCCCGGTTGTGAGGCATATGGGTCCTGTAGCTCTTCAGCTCACAGTGATTGCCATGGTGGGGTAGAGGCACTGCACTGAGTTTAACTCTGTTCATGGATCACTGTGGATCAGTACCTGCTCTTGCACTTTCTAAACTACAGCCAGGGTCTTGTCCTTACAAGCAGCTCTTGACAATGCCAATGCTTACTGAAGACCCTTCATATGAACATTCCCAAGTGTTGGTTTCTTCCTGCAGTCCTTTCAAATGACATCTTAATTGTACATGGCACTCATTGCTGATTTCCGGGAGCCTCACTTGTGGCTCAGGACATGTCTGGTGTCGGATATCTGCTGAGCTAATTCTGTGCTGCGGGAGTACTTGCGTTAGTCATAATACCCTTCTTGTCATGCATTGTTAAATAGGACTGAGTGTCAACAAGCGGACGCATGTCAAGACACCAAGAGATTTTAAATAGAGTTAGAATACGTCAGCTCATGCGAAATGCTGGTTCTTCCACCCGTGTGTGGAACTGGGTGAGTAAAAGGAGCTAAATAGTTTCCTTGTTAGAAGAGGCATTTGGTAAAGGTCACTGAACACTGTTCTTTTTCCAGTTGAATTTGAATGGCTTTCCTGTTGCCCAAAGTAAAATGCTTTAAAGGCTTGAAGTTGAAAGCCAAGCTTTAACCAGTTTAGTTAAGGATTATTTGTTGTTGTTAATCTAAAGAGCTTACTGAGAATCACGTACTACATTGGCAAATTATTGAACCATCACCCAAAAGAACTTAAAGGACAGGAATATGTTACTCATAATTATGCAGTTCCACATATAGTTCTGTTCAATGTTAAGTGCTTCATAAACAGTGCTGATACCCAACAAGTAGTCAGTTCTTGTTAAACGTAATTCCTTTCATGTGAAAGGTTTTACAGCTGTGTTCCACATCCCTCAATAACCTCCATAAGAAATGGAGGTTATTTTACACAGTAAAAAGGCAAGAGCGTAAAAAATCAGTGATCTCACGGCCACAGTTTAAGACCAGGTATTAGCATTCAGAGTACATTGTTCTTACTGATTGCTATTGCTGCACCATTGAGGTCTGGGAAAATCATAACATGACAGTGCAGAATAAATAAAATGACAGGTTTCTACTGATAAATCAAATTTCTGCTGTAGTTTTTTCTTTATGCGTGAAGGGTAACGGATTCTTTCTCTGCCTTGCATCTTGTATCAGCGCATCCGCGTATGTAAATTCAGTGTAAATCAGGAGAAGGGAAAAGGATAGCTTTTTTTTACATTGTCCTTTCCTCAGGAGTAAGTAGGCAGTGAATCAGATTGCTCTGCAAATTGCACTTGCCCAACAACAGCACAAGCTCATTTCCAAACATGCCTTCAAACGTGTGCATTTTCAATTACACGGCTTCTGAGCCTCATCACTTGTTGGAGAACACCCTCCATCTGGTACTATGTCATTACTGCTACTTTTCAATCTTACCTTCCATTAATGTCCATCCTCAGTGCTCAGAAACGGAGGCAGCACACACGTGAATCTGGGTCAAGTCAGCAATCTTCTTTAAAACTATCAATTTTTCTATACCTACCTTCTTATGTCTGAGGTTTAAATGCCTCCAGCTGGCATTTGCAGCTTCTTTTCTGCAGCCTTAGTGCTGGATGATAGTTTTGTTTTGGAGAAGCTAAAATTTCCAGGTTATTTTTTATTTTGAGGACATCACAGTAAAACAAAATGGACCCTTATATAACACATCTGCTAACAAGAGTTAGAAGCACTGATTTAAGAGGTTGTACTGTATTTACATACAGATTTTGGTATCTTTAGCTTTTTCATTTTCTTAAGGGTATTTTTGGTCATTTTAATTGAGAATCTTTATTCTTTCTCATGCAGACTAATAAACGAGAATTCCAAGTGTAACCAAATGCTAGCTTCTTATTTTGACTCTCAGTGAAACAACTTTTGCACATATGACACTGTCCTATGCAAATCATATTATGCATTGCAGTAATGAATGGTCACAGTTCCCACATTTGATGTTTATCCTGTTTAAGTAATGGAAAGTAATACTGTTGAAGTCAAATTTATTATAATATATTAGTTGTTCTTTGCTTCACTGCAAGAAACACTTGCATAAGGTTACTGCATAAAAAATAGGTATCACTGTTTTAATCAAGGAGGATCATTGTTTTTAATAATTCAATTTTTATAGCATTTTTTGGTTTTTTTAAATTTTTTCATAGCATTTTGTTTTCCTACAGTTGAGGTCTCCAAATGGTATGTGATTGAAGAAACCCTTTCAAGCCTTCTAACAGACGTCAAATGAGTTTCCTTTTGTGGATGGCTTACTATTAAAAATATTGTTGGACTTTAGATTTTAACTGATCACTTTGCTTTGAGTTAGGGGTCAATTGTGCTTGCAGTATTGCATTTACAGCGGAGATAAAGGTGTGCTCTAAGGAAAATAAGACTATTGTACAGTGCTTTTCGTATGTAACGGACACCGATGCATGTAACTGATCAGCGGCTGACTAACCTGACTCAGTTCCATGGCTTCATTCAGCGTCACTCTCAGAATTCCTGTGGTCTGCTGAGCAAATAAAAAATATCCCAAATTTAAAACATGACCACCATGAAAGGTTTCCAAAAGATCAGACTTGTTAATGGGATTTTTGCTGTTCCTAGGCTCATATGTTATGTAATACAGCAAAAACCCGTTTCTTCTGAGAGTAGGGCATGTGTTGTGAGGAATCCTTAACACTGAGCAAATAAAATAAAAAGCCCTGTATTTAAAAATACCCAACCAAACAAAAGACAAAAATAAACTGAAAGAAAAACCTCTTTACAATATGGACAAGAAAATGATATAGTGATGAAAAAAAGGACGTTAGTGAGGACATTATTAGGGTTGGCTTTCTAGTGCTAAGTTAATTTGAGAAGCATGGTTAAATACTAGATATCCATGGCATTTTTTGATTGGTGAACTCTTAAAAATACAATTTTAGAATTATTCAGTATTTGGGGTTGAGTTAGACAATGAGTGTCACCTGCAAGGAAAGGAAATAGGAGAACTGCATGAAAACAGTCTGTTCTTTCCTTATTTTGAAGGGGGTTGAACTGGTAATATGCATGTTTCTTTGATGGTTTTTAAGCAAGACTTTTATGCTTTGAGTCCAACCAGCATTTTTTATTAACTTGGAGTGCAGGGAAGTTAACTTAAAAACAGTATATTTGCAACAGAAAAATATGGAGGACTGCAGGTGATTGACTGAGAGAATTAAAGTTCTAAATTATCTTTTTAGAGCTTAGAAACAGAAAGTTTTGTCTTCAAATGAATATATATATGTCTTTATACAGAAATCCAAATCTTAGGAATGGAAAGGACTGGAACTTTTCAGTCACAAAATTATGGTGCAAACTTTTGATCTGTACTCTGAAAGCCACAGCATAAGTGGTCCTCCTCTGCCCTGTTCAGGTATTTAGGCAAAAATAGCTTCCTTTTTATGGGGCAGAAAATGTTACTGCTTAATCTGGGATAAGTGCTGCATAAAACTGGAGAATATTTATATAGAGGAGTCTAAAGGTGCATCAGTATCCTCTGTGTGAAAAGGTTTAGTTATCCTCTCACGGTGTCAGCTTCCAATATGTGCTAGTGGATTTTCAATTCATGTCATTCGCTGTATTTTTGGTTTGGTTTTACAGAGAAATGGTTAATGCATGGTTTGCTGAGAGAGTTCACACCATCCCAGTCTGCAAGGAGGGAACCAAGTCCCAGAGTGAAGCCTGTGCTTGTCACCAGCCTGCCTGTGCCGAGACCACCAACTCTGGGACGCCAGTGAGGAAAATCTCCGCTTCTGAATTTGACAGACCCTTAAGGCCTATTTTTGTCAAGGACTCTGTAGGAGCAGTGAGCTTCCTCTCTGGCTCTGACAAGAAGGAACAGATGCCTCTGCCATCTCCAAGGATTGAGACCAGTGCAGGGGATCAGTGCTCGAGACTATTAGAACTTGTGAAAGATATTTCTAGTCACTTAGATGTCACAGCGCTTTGCCACAAGATCTTCCTACACATCCATGAGCTGATCGCAGCCGATCGCTACTCCCTGTTCCTGGTGTGTGAGGACAGCTCCAACGAGAAGTTCCTCGTGAGCAGGCTGTTTGATGTGGCAGAAGGATCCACCCTGGAAGAAGCTTCCAACAACTGCATTCGCCTGGAGTGGAACAAGGGCATTGTGGGTCATGTGGCAGCCATAGGGCAGCCTCTCAACATCAAGAATGCCTATGAGGTAAGCCAAGGAAATTTATCTTCAGCAATTCTTGAAAAAGAAGAAACTGCCACATTATCACCTGCTGGAGTATTGACATTTTAGTGCCTGTATTTGGTGCTGTATTGACTTAGAGGTCAAGATGCAAACTTGACACTGGTTTTGGTTATAATACATGTATTATAGATACATGTGCACACAGACACATGAAGCTAGGACTAAAAAAATCAGAGTTCTATTGAGGTGATTATTCGGAGTTCAATGCTTGTTTCATTTTGTCACTTCAGTAATCTCTGACAAAAGCAAAACCACAAACCGCATTTACGAAACTGTGTTCCTCTGCGGGCACAGATCTTCGAGTTTACTTCCGTAATTTCTTCTTGATGATAAAAGGTAAATTAGGGGTGGTTAATCCATGAACATATTTATTGTAATGATGGTCTAAGCTCAAAAACAAGGTTTCTCCTAGGGTTTGGGTTTTTTGTTCTTTATAGCAGTGGTCTTAATATCTTGGCACTCATGTTCCACGCAAATGCTTTTCTGTTGTTAACACACTGATAGGAACAACTTTATATAATTATTGGCTGGTAATGGAACTTTTATTATCCTGGATAACGGTCAAATAAAATATTAAACTTTTCTTAATCTATAAAGCAAGGAAGGAAAAGAGCTGGTCTTTAGGCTAGTAGTCTAATAATTGCATTTTTTCTTGTATCAGGATCCAAGATTCAATGCAGAAGTTGACCAGATCACAGGGTACAAAACTCAGAGCATTCTCTGTATGCCAATAAAGAATCACAGGGAAGAGGTAAGTCGCAGTATTGCGATCACTTCACGTAATACCATTTCCAGTCATGCTGATGCTTTCAACTTTCATAAGCTGGAAGTCATCATCTTCCAACCATTTTTTTTTTTTTTTAGCAAGACTGCTTATGTTTGTTTAGACTGCAATTTTATCTTATCTAGTTGAGTAATGTAAGCCAAAGGGAACTGTCAGGAAGAGTTTAATCCCAAATGCAGCAGTAGAATATATGTATTTAACTCCAGAAATGCCGTTCCTGCTTCCTGTACTCAGTATCTGTCAGCATTAAAGTTCTCTGCACACTTACTGGTCTATCTCAAATTGTGATTAAGTTACTGTACTTCAGCTTAGCTTGTATCTATATTGCTTAATTCAGAGGGCACAAACGGCGTTTTATCATTTTCTAAAAACCTGATTATTTTTACACTCTCTTAACTCAACATGGTTCCTAATTTATTACTTATGAGCTAAGTGCCTGACATCAGGCATTGAAAAACACACGGTGTCAATGTGATTCAGAAAAGCCAGCCTCAAGTCATAACTTAAATCACTCCTAATTTGAAACAATATGAATCTACTCACTGAACTCTTGCCCATATTTCCTGTCCATGCTGCTTCTCATGGGAGCTCTTTCATCCTGTCTCACGCTATTGCAGTAGGGAGAATTCTTATTATGGGCTAACAACACCTTCTTGCCCTGAGTATTTGAAGACTGAATTCAGTAAAGTCCATGAAAGCCAGTGCATGGGGAAAAGAGGAGATGCACTCTTTCAGAGTAAGGAAAGTATGGTTGGGTTTTCTTTGATTCTGACTGTAGTGGCCTTTTGCCATATCACCAGTTCTAGAATACTCATAAAATGTAAGGCTCTCCACACAGTGTGTCAGAGCTTTGAAATGGAGATTTTTCTCTCCTGGAATTTATTTTTCACTGTGTTCAGAGTTTGCTTCCAGAAAGCTCAAGCTCTCAAAAAGAAATGTTGCCATGATTTGAAGACATCATACCTTCTTTTTTTTCTGCACTTCCATCTTTCACTCCTCTTCTAGAGTGTCATCTTGACTTCTGCTGCATTGAACCTTTTTTTTTAAATTAAATTAATTTATGAAACTCCTGCGTTAACTTGTTTATTGAATATTTTTCTAGCCAACCTAGATGATCAGCCAGTGTTTCCTTTCTTCACATACTGCAAATTTCAGCTTAAATTATTTTGTTCCATTCTTCCAAGGACAGCACTTGATCCTTTCCTACTCCCATTCCTGCTTAAAATCTTCTCCTTTCTACCTGGCTGCAGTCACTGCTGGCCCTGGGCCAGGAGATGAACAAAGCAGATGCCATGTGAAGGACTGTCAGGGATCAGTGGTCCATGATGCAAGGCTTCCTATTTCACACAATACATGCCATTTTCTTTTTGCTAAATGGAAAAAGATGGTATGCCCCACAGAACTGGGTACAGAAATGAGCTACAAAGCCTTGCTGACTGGGGAGTGTGGAAGTGCTCACTTCTCACCAGATGCTGGTGGTGGGGGGGGAAGGAATGATGGACTGTTTGTCCAGTCCACCATGGCTTAAGGGCTGAATAAACCTGCAATGGGCCGTGTCTTCGGCCAGCTTCCTCCTCCTGAGTGCATCAGCAAGCGGAAATGAAGCGGGAATTTGTTTATTTTGACAAGTTCAGCCAACCTGAAGTTTGAGGAGTCTTATACTCACAAGCAATAACCTGAAGGTGTTAAACTGTAATATTTCTTACAGGAAAGGATGGCAGTTACTAATTTTTTTTTCCGAGTTTTACAGTCTCTTCCAGAAGGTTTTTCTCATTCTCGCTGTAAGAAATGACTGACCTGTTTTTGGAGAGACACTGGAGTCAGTGAATCAGTCCTTAATTTTCCATTTGCATTCTGCTGCTTTTTCTGTTTAAAAATCCCCCAAACAACAAAACCAGAATATGGGTTCCTCCCTGTTAAAACAATAAATAGATAAAATTTTAAAACCCCCAAAGCCCCTCTAGAAATATTGAGGCTTTTGAATGCTGCCTTAGCCCAGGATGTCAGCAATCACAGTTAAAAGATGATTCTGGAAGACATCCAAAAATAAATACTGAGAAAGAGGAGCAACTGGGGCTTTCTGTTTGTTTGTTTAGTATTTTTTTTAAACAAAAGAGTCAGTAATTGAGAGGAGGAAAATCTCATGCTGATTACTAAATCCTCTGGGCCTGCTAAAGTACGGAGATTTTTCCAGTAGATGTTTTTCACATTTGCCTATATTTCCACGAGGCATGTGAGAAACTGAAGTCTCATTTAAAAATAACAGCTAGTAAGAAATTCCATAAATGAAAACAATTTGATTCACAGAAGAGCTCATGGAAAGGACCCAAGAATTAGTAAGAACGAGATACATTGCAGTGCATTAAGAGGACTTTACCTTTGATACGGTTTTGTAGACACTTGTAAACAGTCATTTTGACAGGATTGAACAGGCAATAGAAATCCTTACTCCACTCCTCAACTTAAACCAACTTGTGCAGCTCTCCAGCGGGTTTGGGATACCTGGGAAATGGATGGTGTCTGCAGCACAGAGCCACCACAGCTACCATACAACATCTCCAGGAGTGACACAATTTTCTATTAGTACTGCTTTTCTTTTTTTTTTTAATTTGAGCTGGGCATAGTAATTTTCATAAAAGGAAATCTCAGTTTAATTTCTACTAAAATCAGTAGGATTTTCTCATATGGAGCTTTTAGGAGAATTAACTGAAACATCTCTCCCAAGCTGTGAGCGCGCAAGATTGAATTTCCTAATAATTGGCTAGGGAAATGTTGGGGTTTTTTTCTGGCAATATTTACTCATAGTAGTAGTTGTTCGATTTGTTGTTCACTGGACCCTATCTCCTGTCACTGGGAAGCTCTTCCCAACAAATCAGGGGTGCTACTACTTAAAACAGCCTTTGAAAATCCCCTGTTGAATTTTATGGTGTAAAGTGGGACTGGGAATGTCACCTTTAGCCAGCTAAGTTATTTTCTCACCCAGTGAACCCTTCAGATATCACATCCCAATCATCGTAGGATAGAGCAGGCCTAGCCAAGCTGATTTTAAAGAAACTCAGTTCCAGCAGCAGTCTTGCTGCAGGATTATGGAGATCAGTAATTTGCTTCTTCAATAGATTTTCAGTTTATGCTGAGACATAGATTATAGTAGCTAGACTGCTGCAAAGTGTGGAGGCTGCTGCTGACATGAACAATAGAAAGGGATGTGAAATTTTTGTTGATAAAAAATGAAACTCTGTAAATACAATTCTGTCACTGCAAGATAATTTTGTAAGCTTGAATCCAACCTCTACAAGATCAGGACAGCAAAGTAAAGTCAACACTACTTTGTCTTCTGTAGTGGGTATGTTCTCCTATCAAAAGTGTCAGGTTTCCTATTTCTGTTACTGTTCTTTGGCTTTAATGTAATTTTCCTTCACGTGCCAGCAAAGTAAATAAAAGCTATATCTCCTTAAGAAGCAATATTTATTACATCAGAAGTCAGCTTAAGTAAGAACCTACTGAAAAAGGCACCAGCTGTCTTTAGAGCTGGAACAGCTTTCACAGAGTTAAGCCTGTAATTTTAATGTGCAAAAAAGGCAAAAAATTGCAGCCTGAAACTATCCATATAAAATCCAGAGCACAGTCTTCAGCATTGAAATCATCAGTTGTCACCTACTGGGCACTCAAGGTAGCCTGCTTCTTTTAGAGGCAGGACTCAGCTATTGCAAGAAAACACTAAAAATTAAGTTATCTGATAATTAGAAGAAATCTCTCCTTGTAATGTGGATCAGGATTTATTAAATTGGAAAAGTAGCACAGCTACAAAAGAAAGGTTAGAGAACAAGTAGAGCACTGGAGGATCACCTCTGTTAGCAGCAAGAATACAATCAGGAAAGCTGTGTTCAGATGTAGCAAAACACATGCAGGTATTGAATCAGCAGTTGATGGAAGGTTTGTTCTTCTTTAGGACTGAAAGTAAGGGAACAATTCCGTCATCAGAATTGCTTTTTGTCTTTGTGGTTTATGTCTGTATTATGTGATCTGAATGGAAAAGAGCAAAGTACTTGGTTTCTGATCCAAGGGGAATTTCCTTCTGCTCACCCCCTATCCTCTTTCAATAGAGCAAACTTGGAAGAACAGTTGGGAAGTGCAGGACTCCTCTAGACAGACTGTGTTCCATAACCTGACCTGCCTAGTCCAAAATGGAGGCAAAGCTCAAGAAAAGGAGCTTGTAGCACTCCACAGTACACTGCTTACTTCAGTGATTAGGCCATAATCTCACAGGTGCCAAAGCATAAGCAGATCCTAATGACTTCAGTCTTTCCCTTAGCCTTGGTTTTCTTCAGGCCAGAATAATATCTTAAGCTTTTTTAGTTCCCAGTCTAGCTGAGCCTAGAGCACTTGATCACCTGTGATTCAGTTTTTCTGCCGGTGCAGTCGTAACTCTCAGCTGGAGATCAGATTTGGCCTATTATTTGTGATTTGTTTAGAATAAGTTTTAAGAATGAGGATTTGGGTTTCATACTGTGCTTAGTATTCTCTAAAATGCAGGCATATGTTCTCCATGGCCGCAAATGCTACCACATGATTGACTTTTGTCCTAATTACATAATTACTTTAGTAACAGAAGCAGATCCTCTCGAATTTCCCACATCTTCTCCTAATTACCTGGTTGCAGGCAAGACTCCAATGGCTAAAAAAATGCCCCTCTGAAGTTTTTCTCATTACTGTCTCTGCACCATATTCTATGGAATTCTGAAAAGTGCGCTGAAATTTTAACTGACATAAATGAAGCCAGAATTTGGGCCAGTTTAATTTTTAAAATTGTTCATTTTGTATGAAAAAGACATGGGCACAAAACAGTTGTCTGGAAGCTTAGAATGCCACTGAAACAGCAACTAAAAAGAGAAAGGTTTGCATATGCATAAAATTTTCATTGTAATCAAGTCAACATGAATTTTTAGTGGGTTTATTCTTCTCATTACATCCTCTCCCTTCAGTTAAAATCCTTTATTGAAAGACCTTGTCAAAGATCTAAAACTGGCTCTTGGAACACCTGCCTTTGTTAATGTACCTGAAACCTGGAATGCTGATGAAAGGAGCATAAATAGCCCTTTTTTTTTTTTCTGTATTAATATGGTCCTTTTACTGGTTTCTTGTAGCTTTTTTTTTTTTAGAACTGCAGACTTTCCTTTCATGGAGGAGATGTATTTAAACAACCAACATGAAAGTACTCACCTTTTGGGTGAAAAGCCTCTGGCCTTGTTAAAGTTGTCTTTGCTCATGCTGGATCAAAACTGGAAAAAAAAATAAAATCAGCACCAAGGAGAGACAGTGGTATGAGAAGAGATCTAAGCATTAACCTCTGCACATGTAGGTGAACATGAAAGCATAATAACTTGGATTCAAAGTCTGCCAGAGGAGCATACAGGCTGGTGGTACACTGTTATTACGGAAAGGAAGTCCACTGGATGAGAAATATTCCTCACTGAAGTAAGAGGTTGACTGTGGGAAAAATGGGGTTGTATGGAATGGAGCTGACAGTTGAGCTTTATTTCAGACAGACATTTTTGAGCCCACAGTTGGCAGTGATTCGAGGTAAAGAACAATGGCCTTACTTACAGCATCAGTATTTTGGGAATGCTGGGCTGAGAGATAGTAGATTGTCTTCTTTTCCATTACAAAAATAAAACCACATGTCTTCCATCAGTTTAGCAGTTACAACTTTACAGTGTTGTAAAGGTGCATGGTTAAATACAACTTTTTAAACATGCTCACTACACAGTTTTCCTCTGATAGTGTTTGTCCTAAAAAATCAAGATGATAAAAAAACCCCCGATCATTAACATTTTGCATTGGTTTTACACTAATTACACTTCAAACAAAGGAAGTTCTTTGCAGCTTTTTCTATCAGTTGTTGTACTCATGCTAAAAAATCTGAAAATATCTAAAAGCTTTGCATTATACTTGGTCATATTAATAATACTTGGTCTCAAAAGGAGTGGAAACACAGAATTATATTAGAGAAAGGCTAAGGTCTTCAAATACTAGAAAAGTTTCTGCATGAAAGAGAAACATTTATATTCTAACAACTTGATTTAACAGTGAACCAAGTGGATACCTGTAATGATAATTTCTTATCTTATATTAATATGCCTAGAAATGGAATCCAGTGACATATCCCTAAAAATTAGCTGATTTCTCCATTTTGAATACACTAGGTTGTTGGTGTGGCTCAAGCAATCAACAAGAAATCTGGAATTGGTGGCACTTTCACTGAACAAGATGAAAAGGTATAAAAGCTGTCTCTTCTGTTTTTTATAGGGGAAGGGGGATGGATATATTTTTAATTTTCCGGCTGCTCAGAAACATTCCTAGGAATACTGCACATTTTTTTCCTTATGAGGCCATGAAAAACGTGGAGGTGAAGTAATTTAATTTCTGGATCATCATGTCACATATCTCTGAAAAACAGGCTTACTCTACTGGAGTGCATTGTAAAACACTTGCATAAATTTCAGTGGACATAATTTTTAGTTACTTGGTTTTAACTCTCCTGGGAAGCCCAACAAACACAATTTGAATAATGAAATTTGTGGAGTCATTCTCTTTTAAATACCGTGTCACTTCTCAGTATAGGATTTTCAGGAAAGGAAAAGGCTTCAGATAAATTATGAATATATGAGAGAATCGGGAGAGCAGACAACATAATGGATTCCTAATTCTTCCAGTGCAGTTACTTTCCAAAAATTTCCAGACTTCATATTCAGACTGGTGGGGAAAAACCCAGGCTGTGCTCAGGCTGAAGAAGTTCTCTTAACAATCAGCAATAAAAGAATCAGAATTCATCCTTTCTCTTTGAAAACTTTCCCTTTAAAATAAAACGCACACTGAGTATTTGTAGGATATCAGAATTAATCCCATCCTGAATGAGGAAAAAACTGAGGTTTTGCCATGTTAGCTGTGGGTTTGCTATGTTAGCAAATCTTTATTTTCAGTTCCCAAGAGACTCAATTCCCTCAGAGAGGCTGGTTGTTTGTGGTCAGTTTTTCTAGCTGAAATATGCATCGCTGCATAATTATTTTTTCCTTGAAGCTGCTTTTCCAATGAACCCTACTTATACCAAGATAATGATCTTCGGATTTTAGCTAAATAAAAGGAGAAGAGATTCTTGAGGAAATAAGAAATTAGGAGTAGCTGAAAAAAACCCAGATCCTGAATGTGTCGTTGCCAAAACCAACAAAAATATGAATTAATACTTCAGGGTGAAAACAAAACGCTGCAGTAGCTTATCTTTGAATAAAATTCAGATGCTGTGGGACATAATCTCAGTGAGATGTCGATGTTCATTTGTCTCCAGGATTTTGCAGCATATTTGGCATTTTGTGGAATTGTTCTTCACAACGCTCAGTTGTACGAGACGTCTCTGCTCGAGAACAGGCGCAATCAGGTATGGCCAAAAGGTTTGTCCCAGGGATATAGAAATCAGGAGGGCTTGCATGTAATCAGCACCTCTTCTTCCTGTTTCTGATGTGATAGTTATTCCTTGGCTGCTTTTAATCCCTGTGACTGAATGCTGTGTGGCTCTGATAAAGCTCTCATGAGTGGCACTGGGAAGAGGCTGGGCGCATTGCGGCCTGGGTTGTGAGAAATGGCCTGTCTAGGGAAAGCAGGTAGAGCCATATGTCAGAAAATTCATTCAATGTTAATGTACTTGATATTGCCTGCAATTATCCTGTGGCTCACCATATGTATTAAACAACCAGAGGTGTCAGACTGCAGAAATTACAGGCAGGAATATCCCTGTAGAATAGCAGAGGGCATACAGACTGTTCCTTTAGGCTGTTACTAGTATAACAGTCACTAAGCATATTTTCAGTAATGATCAAATGGAAAACTGAATTTCCTTCTGATTGCTATAGCTCTGCTTTGCTGCCGACTTGGTTTTGATGGGTTGTTGGTGCCATGGCCTTTATGGGGGAATATGCTTTCCCTATATAATGAGATAATGTTTCAGAGAAAAGACTAGACAGCAGTTCTTTTAAAATTTTCCTGGTAGGTCTGAATTTCCAACTGACTATCAGTGTTTATAAATTGGTACAAATTTCGATGGTTTATTAAATGCCTTCGTGTTTCTTGTGAGGAAAAAAAATATGAGCAGCTAAGTCTTTCAACAGCAGTTTTGAAATACAGCAAACTGTATTGGTTTTTTCACCAAATGAGTTAATTAGGGTCTGTAGAATTACAACCAAGAACAACTGTGTTCAAAAGTCTTAGAAAATGTAAATATCACTGGTTTGAAAATGCACACATGAGCCATAGGAAAACAGGTTTCCTAAGGACAGTAACTGTGTTTTCTGGATTTAATTTTGAAATGGTTTCATTTGACCTATTAATGCCTAAATCTATTCTGCTTCTCTGACTGAATGAAAACATCAGCTTATTGTGTTATTTAATTCTTCCATAAAAACTGGCTAATACTGACTGTTACCTTGCAATCTGTGAAAGCCAAAACTTACTTCTGGTCACAGACATAAACATTGGCTTCCCTGATTCAAGGGAGAGGAGAAGACTCAAAGACATAAGTAACAAAAATTATTGCATAAATCACAATTAGTCAAACCCTCACAAATGACCTTTTCTTCAGGTGCTGCTTGACCTTGCCAGCCTGATTTTTGAAGAGCAGCAGTCTTTGGAGGTGATCCTGAAGAAGATAGCAGCCACTATAATATCCTTCATGCAGGTGCAGAGGTGTACCATCTTCATAGTGGATGAAGATTGTCCAGTGAGTATGTTAATTCTGTCTGAAGGCAGAAGTGTTTATTCCCTGGGAGTGGGGTTGGCTTCCCTCCATTCTCATATGTTCCGTTGTCATTTCATTTTCTATCTTCTTTCATGGCATTGGCTCAGGTTGGGTGTTGACATGAGAGGTTCTGGCCTTTGTGTAATTATAGAATTTCTGTTCTGACATAGAAATTTGGCACAGCTTTATTTCTTCTCTGGGTCATGAGTAGATCAAGACACTTCAATGATACTAAAAGTTGTATCAAAAGATACTCTTATGGTAGGATCCAGTGTGCTTGATGACAGATGTGGAATGAAGCTAAATTTTACACTTGTCTGTAGCACAGAATGGGCCTTGATAACTGCAACAAGGTTTTAATGAGTAATACTGTTCTAAATAATGACAACCTTATACACCTGTGTATTCAAGCATCCTCTTGATATTCCAGGATACATTTTCTAGTGTCTTTCACATGGAATCTGAGGAATTAGAGGATTCAGCTGAAAATCTGAAGAGGTAAACCAATTAATTCTGACTTTCGTTCATCCTAGGAGAATTCTGAAGTAACTTATGCTTTTAATATTCTTTTCATAATAACAGACTTATTTCTGCTGGATCCCATGTATTACTCCTATTTTGATAGAGCAGCTTTTCTCCTGAAGTGGGCATAGACCAACTCTCTTGCCTTAAAAAGGTCCCACTGAGCGGAGCAGGAGTAGGGATTGATTGATTCACTTTGCCAGTCTAAGAACATATTTGTATTTCAAGGCTAAGCTATGGAAATGCACAGAGGAGCTGCTCTAAAACTGATTTCAAAGACATCTATGTGGATGATTGTTATAAAGGAGACGTATGCAAATTAGTAGATAATAACCAAAATAATGCTTTTAATCAATTATTTTAATCGCTATCCTCAACTCAGAGATAAGGAATATGACTCAAAGAATGTGTCTGACTAAATCAAGACTGGAGTCCTAAAGCTCCATCTCTCACTTATCTTTGGGAAACCACTAAGGAGTTGAACTGGGAGGAAAAAAAAAAAAAAGAGATAAAGAGCTGAATTAAAATACCCAGATAAAATAGTTCCCAAAGTTAGCCTGAACCTCTCTATTGAAGTTTGAAAATTACTGTCTCTGTCATCAAAAACAGTTGTTTCAAATACTGTCAGAAAGAGACACAGTTGTATATAAAATACTCTACTGCAGATATTTTATGCAGGGAGAAAACAGACTTTGAGCCCCTTTGATGTTGTTTTGCAGTAAATATTTATCATATTAAGTTTAACTCCCCATATTAGAGAATGATGTCCAAAGTGTGTGACTTGAGCAACTAAAAGCTGTTGAGTTGTATTACAGTTTGGCAGTGTTCAACCAGAAAGTACAGAGGTATAACAGCCTGGTAAGATCACAGGTGAAAAAGAAAATTCCTCTTTAGTCCTTTTCTTCTCTATAAGAAGGGAGCCTTCCTCCTCACTATCCCTTTTATGGTGACTAGTTAATGGAATTAAAATGTTATTTACTGCTTGCATGGGCTGCCAGGAACTTATTTCTCATACCTGATAGGGAAGAGGAATCTTGGAGGTTTAGTTGCCTATCAGACTCTTATTCATGAGATAGCAACAGTAAATGCCTAGGACTGCACTGTGAGTCAACCATTGCAGTTACAACTTCTGCTATGCTTGAAGGGCACAATTTCAGGCAAGAACAGAAATATAAAGGCATGAATTAGATGGGAAGTATCACTTTATATTAATATAACATTTCAGGCTTGTTATGCAATCAAGGACACTGAATCAAGCCCCAAATCAGACTGCTTTTCAGAATTGTGGGGCATTGCCTTGTATGTGTGAAATAACAAAAGAATAATTCCTCTTCTCCAGCCCTGGAACATCCTCACACCAGGAGGGTAATGAAAGTCAAGTCTAATGTTGGAGGGACACGCTACAGGAGCTTGATGGAAATAGGTTTATAAGTGGGATATATGTCCTCCTCCAAGGAAGGCAAAGGGTCTAAGAGAATTAAAATACCTTAAATAAATTGTGGCTAAAAAAGTGAAGATTATTGATTCTGTAAAGATACTTTATGTCCCGATTTGGAATAGACTGTTCTATTTCAGTAACAAAACCTCCATGTGACTGATTGTCTCTTTACTTTTAGAACTTGAAATTAACTTAGCAGCAGAAAATTCACAAGTGATACCTACTGCACTCTCTTGAACTAATATGTGAATTTCATCCAGTATTGGTTTTTCAGGCATACCAGATTTGTGAATGCAGTTTGTTTTCAAATAGTTCTGTTTATTTCTGTATAAACCCAGCTGTTCATTCTTTATCCTTCATCTGTGTAAACTGTAGGGAATTGTTTATTTCTTCAGTTTGGTGTTCAGTGTTAATGTTGTTGAACATTAAAGAAATGGTGGAAAGCATGCACCAATACATGCTGCATTTTGTGATGACAGCTGGATTAGGGTACAGGATTTGAACTCAACTCCATTATAGATCTTTTGGTTGTATCTATATATCCTTCTCTCATGTGGGAAAGATATTCCTATTCCCTGCTTGGCATAAGGAAATTACTCACTTTTATGCAAAGCACATAATAATAATACTGTTGTATCCTTCAGGGACTATGACACAAACAAAATCAATTACATGTATGCTCAGTATGTCAAGAATACAATGGAGCCACTCAACATCCCAGATGTCTGCAAAGACAGAAGATTTCCATGGACAGTAAGTAAAATAAGCTTAGGGCTGAAATTCAGAAATGGAAAATGTTTTTCTCTTTAACTTTTAAACCTTTTTTGCTTTCCCCTTATTTCTGTCAAGGTGGCCCCAGTTAAAATGGTGCAAACACACCACGAGTGTTGGGAGGCTCTCAGAAGTTCCTTCCCTTTTATCCTTTCCTTTCCCTTCTTGTTCTGGCACAGATTAATGTTGTAGATGAAAGTTCTTTGCTGCAGTGGAGATGGATCAAGTTCACTTTTCTTTGGGAGCTTTTGCCCAACACTTCCTTAAGTGTGAGCTGATGATGCAGTGAATGACCGAGCACAGGGATACTGGAGAGTGAGGAGGGAAGGTCACTTGGCAAGGCTCAGGTTCCAGTCAGGTTTCCTTCATGGTCATCATCAGCAAAAAGCAAACTTTTCATTATGTATTTTCCCGTATTTTCAATGCAGAAATTAGAAAGATGTCTGCTCTTACTATTATGGTTAAGCCTGTAAGCAAGGGGGTAGTGAGAGGAAGAGGAGCTACTATGGTCCAGCAGATGGCTTTTTACCAAAATTTGTTCTGAGATGCACAACAAAATGATCAGAAAAGACAGTGCTCAGTGTGATTGTTCCAGTAAGTGGAAAGAAGGGGCAGGCTCATGGCGGGGAGCTGGGTTGTCTCCCTTTCTTTTCCTGTGCAAGGTTTCTTGGATGTTCTGAAATGGGTTTCTATATGGATTGAGCAACACAGGAATTGAGTTCTCAGACTAACGCTGTGTTAACAGCAGGACTGGAAATACAGACAGAATCCAAAGGATATACTTTATAGATTAATAAAGAGGTGATGATTTTGAAGACATTTAAAAATAAATTAAGACCTTGAGAATCATGCAAACAACTGTTTGTTGGAAACGGGCTGTTCAGTAGGGTTAGAGTTATTTTGATTCTTTTCTTTTTTTCCTGGAATTCACCTTATGTATGTAAAAGAAACCCATAAAAAGAAAGCAATAGTACTTTTAGAAGCAATCTGGAAATGTTTTTCAGCAACACAGAGACAGCACTTGCACTACTGCAGGAGCAGGGCAGTAGGATAAATGTTTTGAAAGCTGATGCATTCTGACATGAGGGAAATCCCCGGTGTTGCCAGTGCCCTAGAAACCTTGGTTTGCCTCTTTTGTTGGAGGACATTTCAACAGCACACTTACTCACCTCACAAAAATCCTGCCAAGATACTCTCTATAGTCCTTGCACAGCAGCACAGCACAAAGAAACAATACAGAAAAAAACAGATAACCTTTTGATCAGAAATATTAGCATGTGCCTATTTCTGTTGGTGCCACACACACCAACAGAATTAGAGGTTAGACCAAATGTACTTCTCAACAACTGCCTCATTATTCCTGGGGCAGTCAGAGCAGAGCTGTGGCCTTTTTCTCCAGGTGTTTGAAATGGAGGCATTATCTCTGTTCTATCCTTCCACTCCCCAAATAAATTCATTTCCTTCTGTTAGAGCATGGGACATGCTGCAAGTCCTGGGAAGAGTGCAGATGCTGACCCAGCTGTAGTACTTTTCCTGTCCGCTGTTTGTGGGCAAATTCATTGATCACCTGGTTGCTTTTTGAAGGAAGATATAAGCCAAGAGTAGTTGTAGAGCCCAGCTCTACAGCTTTTTCACTTCAGCCACCTGAAAAACAGCCTTTAAAATTGTAACTGTATCTTTCTCTTTGTTTAACAGAATGACAATGCAGAAAATGTAAGTCGGAACATAAAGAGTTTGCTGTGTACACCAATAAAAAATGGGAAAAAGAATAAAGTGATAGGTAGGTATCTTAACAAAAATAATGCTGTACATTTCATAGATAAATTTATGTGCTCCACAGTAAAATCACAGCAACATGCAGTCTCAAGCCAGGAGAGAAGATCCTTAATTATCATGTTCTCGTCTAATAAGTCTACTAGAACCTTGAATATAAATTGCTCACCTAATAAGCTGCCAAAGAGTAGAGAATGTCAGCCTTTGTTCCTGGCATCAGTAAGCCCCACAAGCAAACAGAAAATAAAATATACTGATCCTTAGACAGGAGAATGGATCCAATTTCATCAGCTTTAAAAAATTTGGCAAGTAAATATTAAGAGTTCCAAGAATGACTTTTTAATGATATTAAAATATTTTTTTGAGAATGATAGCAAAATTGCATGGCCCAATTTATAGGGTAAATATGATGTCCCTTTTTTGAAGACAGATTTAGTTTTCTAACATCTGAGGCAGAAAGAGAAACCTCATCTTTATCTAATGGAGTTCTCTGAAATTTCTTTTGCTATTAGCCTCTTTCATGAGTTCTTTTATTACTTTATTTAAATATTGCAACAAACCCTAGAAGACCAAAATTAACTGTGGAGCTTTAATTAGGGATATTTCACCATGCTGCAAGCTATTGATAAAACAGTTGCATCTGCAGGGTTTTTTTTCCTATTGAGATTTCCTATTGAAGTTCAAACTGAAAGTTTCAATCAGGCCACCCATTTAGGTGGGCTTTTCAAATCTGAGTCATTCTTCCTGGGAAATGTTCTTTGAAGTATTTTATGGCTTCACAGCTGCCTCATGTTCAATTATTTAATAGGGTGAGGTCAAGAAATTGTCTTTGGGATAGTACCCAGAAGTTCCTTTACAATATTACATAGCATCTATGACTATTATTATAAGTCTGGTTTCTCTTTAAAATTATTTTTAAGATTAGGATACCCCAAACCAGAATTTGGGAAGTGGGATGGGGGTGAGAAAAACTGTCCACATGAAACCCGAGCAAATCTTACTAGCAAGAAAGATGAAAAGAACTTTATTCTCCTGACTTATGCATTTCTCAGGTATGTGGTAAAAGCTTTACAGAATCTTGCTGTGATTTTATAACTCTGTCCCAAGGAAAGGCTTTGGAGTTCCCTAATTTGTAATCAATGGACCTCTCAGAGCTTTGGGGAAGCTTTTGAAAGAGGTTAGAGTTTTAAGTAATACACAGTATATTTGTTGCAGTTCTCTAATTTTTTAAGAGACATTTACGTTCAAATACTGTGTCTTTTAAGAATTAATTTACTTTTGTGGCATATTCACTGTTGGGTCTTAATCTTGTGTTCATTACATCACAGTTGCTATGGAAATAATTATAATGTCATAAGCTGTACTAAACAGAAATCTGAAGGTCAGTTTCATGGGATTTTCCTGAAGAGTTTTGTAAGTCAGCTTCTTTTTTCCCAGGGAAAGTTAATCTTGTTCCTTATTTGAATGAATCCTTTTCTAATGGGATTATGTGATTCATTGATCCATTCCTTTCCATCTCATTCCATAAAGGTTCAGAATTCTCTTTGCCATATTCAGATACCCCCATCCCCTGCCATTACACTTATGGCTACGGCTAGAATGGTCTTGGTCTCTTTAGAGGAGACTCTGATGCAAAGTTCTCCAAACAGAATACAATTTGGAAACAGAACAATGTTGCATTGTCACTAGACATCAAAACTTGCGAGGCCAACATTCTTCTACAACCACAGTTTGTGTGTGTTGTATTTTTTTCCTTAGTTTTATTATCAGCTGTAATAGGGAAGATGCACATGTGGTAACTTGTTTCAGAATTTTTAATTTGCAGCTGGACTATCTTGGCACTTGTCCAGGAAAATGCAGCTTTTATGCTCATGGGAGTGAGAAAAAATTTGGACTCCGTTAAGACAGTCTTCATCACAAAAGACAACATATTCCTGTAATTCAGCTGCTTTAATTAGTATTCTAATCTTAGCAGATAAAACTAAGGGCAGGTGTATTTCTGAATTTCCCCCTGCTCACAGCGGTGTCAGGGACTTAAACTGCAGCAAGGTGTGGTAGGAGTTACCTGTCAGACTTCTTCAATGATATTGTATGCAGAAAGGCCTAAAATTCTTAACAGAAAATTAACAAATGTAAATATCAGCATGTTTGAACCTAAGCTGAATTCAGTCAGATGCTTCTCAAGGAGTTCAGCAGTGTTTGCAAGAGGCTGTAATTCAACAGCATCCTCAAAAAAATGGCCGGGTGTACTTCAGCTTTGAACCTCAACTTGGGTATTCCCTGTTTAGCTCATTTACTTGAAAAAAAATCCTAGTACTGGCTCAAATGAGGAAGTGAAAACTCTGTGTACCACTGTTCTGACTTTGATAAATGTTCTTTTGGCATGGTTGCAAAAATTTAATTAGCCTCCAAAGGACAAATTGTCTTTAGGGATTAAATCAATCTAGAATAGTATTAATAATAAAAGTTAGCATGAAAACGACCCTAGAATTTCACAGAACAATCAAGTCTCTAAAGCCCTACATTTTTGGTGTACAAATACTAATAAATATTTTGAATTTACAACATATATATAATATTTTAACGTTTATTTTATAATACATTGAAACTACTCTTGGAGGGGAAAAAAAAAAGGCAAAATCCTAAGCATTCCTATGTGTTGGTGGTTTATATTGTAGGCTTATCTGTCCTAAACTTAATTGCTGATGGTGATATGTTCTTTGTATTACTTCCTTTTGTTTCTGTGTCCTGACATAGGGGTTTGCCAGCTTGTGAATAAGGTGGAAGAAAACTCAGGGAAAATCAAGGCTTTCAACAGAAATGATGAGGAGTTCCTGGAAGCATTTGTCATCTTTTGTGGCCTGGGGATCCAGAACACACAGATGTACGAGGCTGTAGAAAGAGCCATGGCCAAACAGATGGTGACACTAGAGGTGAGCCCAAATCTAGGTGGTCCTTAATTAGTCCCAAACAGATCCTAATGTTCCCCAGACCCTCTCTGTTCTGCATGTAAGTGCAGCTACTCACAGGGACACTCAACAGAGATTGTTATCCCTCAGGAGAGCAGCATTTGGACTGTTGAGCTGCTCAGGAATTTTCTGCTTGTTTCTGACTCTGCCAGCAGACCCTTTAATTTGGTACTGTGTCCTAACTTTACTCCTGAGATTTAGTGGGGAGCTGGAGGCATCTCTTCCTCTCCATGAGGCTGCATGCTGGCAGCACAGTGGGTGCGTTCTGTTGCGTAGGAAGGGGGAAATGGTTTGGCAGATTAAGGGGCTTCTCTTCTTGTCTGAGGGTTTTTGTGATGATTTTGGCTCAGTCCTTCAGACAAACCAGTGTCAGGAGTAACAGCAGCATTATTGTAGGTTCTCAGCAATTTCCTCAGACTCCATCAAACCACATGAAGATGAACATCATCTGGTCACCATCAGCCTTTGAACTGGTTCCTGTTAAGCTTCACAGCTGAAGAGGGCTTTAGTCTGAGAAACTGAATTACTCAAGGGTGATAACTTGAAGCTGAAAGTGAAGAATGTGTAGACTTTGGATCTCCTAACATCCATTATGTAAACAGAGTGTTTGCAGAGCTCCTAAAATGGGATTATGTGCCCTGTGGCCTCTAAGAGAAACATTACAGTTCTCAAATAAAGCTGTATTAGGTCATGTTAAATAAAAAGCTGATAAAACTATTGTCCAAATCATTTGCTTATATGGTGAATTAGCAGTTCTGTCTCCTACTATGGCCCTTTATAGATACTATAGGAAGTCCTAGCAAGATTATAGGTTAGTGTATTAAATAGGTTTTTTACAAAAAAATAAAACTCTAACATTTTCATGTCATATGTTCTCAATAGTTAAAAATCTGGACTTATTTTTTTAATTTAAAATGGAGGCATTGTCTTTCATACTTGTGTGCCAAGTTTCAGTTAGGGTAAAGCTTTCTTTCATGTCTGAATAAACTCTTGAAAGAATTACTATGGCTATAATGTCAGGCTCATAATAGGAGCTGTTTCTTGTATTATTTGTCTTTGAAATTGGGCCATGAAAACTTTCCAAAGAGAAAATCAGAGTTCTTTGCTCTTTCATAGAAGCTATTTATGTTTTCTTGGCCTAATTATCTCAAGATTCTGTGCTGTGGAAGATTTGTAGAAGATGCAGATATCTCCTCATATGCATTCAGAGAGCTCCCCTAAAACTGGCTTGAGCCCTGCATGAACAGAAGATTTCATCAGCAAATGCAGTAGAATGCTGAAAAATCTGCTCCAGGAAAGGTACCTTGTTACCACATGGCTCTTTTGTTTGTACTAAGGGCTGTGCTTTTCTTCCCACAGGTTCTCTCATACCATGCTTCTGCTGCTGAGGAGGAAACGAGGGAGCTGCAGGTAACAGTGGTAATTGAATTTTTTACTATTACTTTAGAAATACTGCTTTAGTAGAAAAACCCATTGCAGTCCTGTACACAGATGTCATCCCTAAAGGGGCAGAAGCATATGTTCCAGAAATCAAAATGACAGTGGATATCATGCTGATGGGTTTCTGAGCTGAATCACATAAAAGGGAAAGATTACACTGTCTACAATGAGAGAAAAACCTGGCCAGAGCACTGTGAGACCCAGACCTGTGCTGGCTGATTTTTTCTCAGGAGTTTGACAGTCACTGGTGCAATGTCAGTATCACACTCATAATGATGAAGTATTCCAGAAGCAAAACTTGAGAACTCTCCATTCTGCAGCTAAGTCTGAATGCTGTATATCTTACTGCTTTGGTACCTTTCAAACATCCCAAGTATGGCTGCAGCTTTTTTGCCTTACATATAAATTCTGTATTGAATTTTTAATGCAATGATTTAAATTTTTTATAGTTGCTTTTCTGTGCAGTGTCCTGTTCTGCTCATGTTTAATTCTGTGTTTAGAAGCCACTGCCTAAGGAATAACTACAGCTAGGATTTCAAGTGCATTTCTAAGCACAGCATGTGCTTAGTTTCTGCAAGCCTTCAGCTGCTATTCCAAGGAAATAGCATCACCCCTGCTGCACAAAAACAAACAGGAGGGATGGAGAGGAAGGAAGGCATAGGGACTATGAGCTGGGTAGAATGGGACTGGTCTGGCCAAGCGACACAGCAAGGTGTGGGGAAAAAGGATATTTTTTATAATGGTGTCACTTGGAATTTTGAACCTCAGTCCTACCACACTGCTGCTCATCAATAAAGAGCCATGACAAGACCAGAGTGCAATTCTTCTCCTAAGGTTTCTCCTCAGGGCTTGTGATGAAATCTTTGTGGTTCCACCATTACTGCTCAATAAAACAGTGCCACAGCAAACCTAAAACTGGGCCAGTGTCCTCTGGCACGTCTTAACTGTCCACAGCTTCCTAGCACAGTCCTGGCCTGTGTCAGCCACCACTCTCTAAGGTGATACCAGAGCACAAGCACAGGCCTTTTACTTGCACTCATAAAATTTTGATTTTAGTTTTTATTTTTTGCACTCATATTGTCATATAAATATGGCCAAAACAGTTAGAATTTTTTTCTGGATATACCTTTTGCTTCTAAATAATCTGAAAATACTTATCAGGCAGTTGGACTAGAAGATGTTTGTAGGGCTCTTCCAACTGGCACTATTCTAGTCTATTATCTGCCTTATGGAATAGGCTGCAGTCAAATTTTTTTTTTACTTTAATCATCACTTCCAAATGCTACAGAACTGTCCTATTACATCAGTCACCTCCTTTGAGCCTGTGTACTGTCTACAACCTGTGTTTTATCATCCAAAGCAGATGAAAGTAAGCAAAACTCTTTATAGTTGCCACACAGTGGTCCCGTGTTTTCCAGAACCTTCTTTTTGTTGCCGATGTATTTACAGAAACCATAGCTCAATAAATTGAAATTAAAATAGCTGATGAACTTTTGTGCTGTAAAATAGGAGGCAGAAGGCTCTAGTGGCTTCATTAAGTGAAAAAGGAAATAGCTAATCTGGTTAAACAACATCATAAACAGCTATAGAGTGCACGGGTTTTATATTTCAGCTGAAATGAAACTTACTGTTGTGGCTGTAAAAGGTAGGAGATCAAGGAAGGGAAAGATAAATTATGAATGAAGTGAGGCGTGAGGTGTTCTTTTGAGCTCGTTCTGTGTCCTTGCAGCCCCTTTCGTGATGAAATCCCAGCCTGCAGTTGCAGTTTTTCAAAATTATGTCAGCGGCTTTGCTGAACAGTTGCATTATTTACCACCCAACATGCAAGCCTTTCATGTGTTCACAGCTGAAATCCCACATGAATCCAGCCAGGGACACAAAATTACTGGCAGAAGAAATGTGCAAGAAGAGTGCATTTTTGCCCTATGTCAATACTCTTTTTCATAATCTTCTGTGACTTCCTGATTCTGACACACGAGAGAGGACAGTGAACTGATATGGAACACAGGCTGGCAGCCATAATTCTGTGGGTTTGCATGTTCATGTACTAAGGTTGTAGATGATGACAAATGCTTCCTTTTCAGTTCCTCAGCCTTCTGGGACACAGCTGCCTACACTGGAGAAATGTTTTCCCCTAGAATTACAAAGAGGAAGACAAACACAAAGGTTTATTTCCTTCACCATTTCAGATTTACCTGATTTTCTCTGGACCACACTCATATTGAAGAGAAACAGCTCTAAAGCAGTAGCACTGAGAACCCCACCTTTTATTCTACTGCAGAAAATTTTACTAAATTTTGTTCTATAGTATAAGACTTGGCATTTTTTTTTGTTAGTATGTGAGTTAATATAAAACTTAGCATAACTCAACACTGGTATTTTGAAGGGCAACCAATATAAATACTCAGTATTTTATAACTAGAAAAGGGATGTAATATATGGAGATATTACTGACAATTAAAAACTCAGATTTAAAAACATATAGGATGGAGGGTGTATTGTGTACCCTGTAATTTCAAATTTCACATTGAAGGTTTATGGTTGTATATTCACCTGATCACAGGTGAACTCTAATTTTTCAGGTTTCTAGCCCCAAGGAAGCTCTGCCTGTGGACATGCTCTGACTTCCATCATGCTGAATGTTGATTCTGTTAGCAAATCTGTTTTACTGACATCTTTCCTCACTGTTTTTAGAAAAATGCCAACAGTTACGGATTTTGCTCCCTGCATATCCATAAAAACAAACACATAACTCTACTGCCTTATTTTCTCCTTCTCCCAGTTTCATCAATACTTTTGGTAACAATTTGCCTTGGGTGATTTAGATAACCAGACTGACCAGGTAATTCTACCCTTGTTCTCTTGTCTATGGAAAAGTGCTTGCTAAATCCGAGGTAATAAGGTAGTGTTAAACAAGAGAGGTATGGGGAAGTAAATGAGAAGCAATCATCAGTTTTCAGTATCACATGAAGGTAAAACTGAATGTCTCTTTTTAGTCTGTTGAAAAAGCAGATATTTGTTCTACTCTCTCTGCCCTAGTGCTTAGCTGTGCTCTCTCATTCTTCTCCAGGCTGCTGTAGTGCCATCTGCACAAACTCTCAACCTGACTGACTTCTACTTCAGTGACTTTGAGCTGTCAGACTTTGAAACAACACTGTGCACAATTCGAATGTTCACAGACCTCAATCTGGTGCAAAATTTCCAAATGAAACACGAGGTATGGTTGCTGCCAAATACTGCCCCACAGAAAGAGACAGTTTAATAATTAAGAATTCAGAGCAGTGAGATGATCTCACAGTAAACAGAATTGGACATCTGTATTAAGGAGTAATTAACAAACTAGGAAGTGATATGAAGAATTGGGGTCTGTCCTCAGTTTCGTTCTACTGGAGGATTAATAATTTTACAGTCTATGATTAATGGACTGGAAAACAGAATACTGAGGAGGGAGAGGATAACAACTTCTCAGGAGGTGAAAAACTCCTACAAAGAGGAGAATAACATTGTTCACTATGTCCATATGAGGTAGTAATCATCTTAGTCTTTCCCTACAAAATAATAAATTAGAGATTAGGAGGAACTTTGTGGTTGTGGAGACAGTAAAGACTGAAGCAGATTATAATTATGATGGGCTGTGGGAATTTCCCTGAAGGTTTTTACCAATACAAGAAATGATCAAGACAGGTAAATAGAAATTCTCTTCAGCCTCTTCCACTCAGTGCACACAACATCTATTTGTAGAAACCTTCATTTTTAAATACCTTATTTTTGCTTTATAACCTTTTCAACAAAACCATCAAAACTTGTATCAAAATGTGAGATTGATTTGTAGGGTTTCATAGGCAAACACATTTGTTAAAGAAAGCATGTATTTACTGTCTAGATCAGCACTTTATAGACCAGTTTAGACTAGTAGTGTCCAAGGGCCAAAAGTGCTGTATTACCTAATCTGATCTCTTGAATATCCTAGTACTTAGCTTCACCTCTGTAGTAAGGTGAACAACCTTAAGGAATATGTTCCAATATCCAATTACTACTTGACCTTCATACCTGTCACTTTCTTACAAAAAAAAAGGTAGGAAAAAAGTGTGTGTGTATATATATATATGTATATATGTGTGTGTATATATATATAAAAAATTTTATAACCCACAATTTCTAATACAGTTAAGTAAAACATCCAGGGCATACTTTCCTCCTGCATAAAAAATAAACTGCCCTGCAATGTAGTAATTTTTCTATCATACTTAGTTGCTTTCCAAAGTCCAATTCTGCTTGGATTTTGACAAGCTGATAGGAGAGAAAAGCTGCCTGTTCATTTTCAAAACTGGTCTTAAGAGGATTTGATAACTAAATAAACTTTCTTTATCAAATATGTCATCATAAACAAGGATTTTTTCTCCCAGGTATCTTAATATACATCAGTTTCTGAATTAACAGCAGTGCTTCTGACATTAATGTTTAGGCCTTAGCAATAAAATCCCAAACCCACAAGTGTTGCACACTCAATTAGGAGCTGTACTAGTGGATGTAAGCCTGTTCTTATCCATGTTCACGGTTACAAGTGTGTTACATTTGAACTTGAAATTGAGTTAAATGGACTTTTTTTTTCAGTCAGAGTTTCCAAGTGGGAGTAAGAAAGTTTTGAATGTATTAGAAATCTGTTCTTTCTTAAAGGTTCTCTGCAGATGGATTTTAAGTGTGAAGAAAAACTATCGGAAAAACGTTGCTTATCACAATTGGAGACATGCCTTCAATACAGCACAGTGCATGTTTGCTGCTCTGAAATCTGGGAAAATTCAGGTACAATTCCAGTTCCTCTATTAAAGCAAATTCTCTAATGATGCACAGCTCTGATCTGATTGTCATGTCAGTAAGATGTTCATTATTCCATGGTATTGCCAGTGGAATTTTCTGCTGAAGACTTCTGGCTATGAGGGCTTTGTGAAACTGCTGCTGTGGTTTTCAGTTCCCTGTTTGAGTTAAATCCTCTGGAAGTGGTTATCAGGATGTTCCCAACAGGAATATCTCAAATAAGGCATGTACATGGTTAGGTCCTTTTTTGAAGTTAATACGTATGCTACAAGCAAGTCAAAAAAGTGGAGAAAAAGAGGCTGACCCATTTTCAGGATGTTTCCTTAAAATTTTTAACAGGAATTTTTTAAGTTCAAATGCAGAGCCAAGTACAGCTTTAGATATGCAAAAACATAAAAACATAGAAATAAATATTTAAATGTTTGTTCCAAAGCTTTTGAACACATTTTCAACCTTTCACTTAAAAAGACACCTAATAATTTAAAAAAAAGCAACCTAATCATTCTGACTACAGCTAGATGATCCTCTAAATAAACAAAAATACTGATTCTAAATTCTTCCAAAATATGTTTTTAGGTTTTGGTTTTATATTATTGTAGGAAATAGAACGTTTCTGTTCATTCTGAATAAACATGGTTTTTAAACGTTTGTAGGCCAAAACCCCATACCAATGAGGAAGAGGCATTTCTTTCTCTACAGACTTTATCTCACTAATGAAAATGACAAAAGGCACTGAAAAAGACCAAGGCAAGGACATCCATCTTCCTTCCCTGTTGGAATGGACATGGTAGTTTTGCTCTGCGTGCGGTCGAGCTATCTCTGATGATCCTGATAGTTTGCCTGCTATTTTTGGAATCCTGACAGTCTCCACTGCAATTTCCATAAATTGTTTATTCTTAACTACACTGGTTTCACTCCCTGCTGATTCTCATGTCCTAGATTCTGGAGTCTGAACAGCATTGAACATAACTCAATTTTTTATCTAGTTTGAGGGGAAAGGCAAGCAAGCGTTGGGAGATGCATCTTCCTAGCAGACACATAAAATCAATCATTTCCGAACTGAGTTGTCTTTTGACTAAGAGCAGGTCTCGTTATTCAGAAAGTAGATGTAAAACACGTCGTAGTAAATAAATCCACAACTCACTTCTGGCATTACTTTTTGCATACAGAGCAAACTGACTGATTTAGAAACGCTGGCTTTGCTAATAGCAACTCTGAGCCATGATCTGGATCACAGGGGTGTGAACAACTCTTACATACAAAGGTAAGTGGGTCTGAGAGAAGTTAAATAAAAAGAAGTGAGTGAACAAACACAAGCACAGAGCTAAATTAGATACACCCTGACTGTTTTGATTGGGGACTGTGCAAAGGAGCAGGCTTCCACAAAGCAGAAATTGTAAGAACAGGCAGAACCATTCACGAGTCCAAAGATGCAGATGCACAGCCTCAGTTCTGACTGATGGCAGACTAAGTGAACCCTTTGCTGCGCAGGGACAATTTTTTCCTGCTCCTAAAGTGCCCCTCCCCAATTTCCCATCAAGTGACAGCAAAAGGCTGCAGTGTCCAAGGGACAGCATGTAAGAAACATGCAGCTTTTCAGATCACTGCCTGCCCAACCCAGCTGTTCCCTTCTTGTCCGGGCCAACACAGCACTGAGGTCTGCACCCCTCTGGAACAGAAGTGTCTCCCCAGTGTTTTGAACTCAGATTGTTTTACTCTTGGTTTAGTGACGTTTTTCCAGAATTCTAATATTCTATAATTCTAATAATAAGTTACATAGTTATAATCACATTAAAAATGTACAGTTCTTTTGCATTGATTGTGGGTTATCTGTACTCTTTAACTTTGATCCAATCTGGAATTACAGAAAGACCTTTACAATACGAAAAGGCAAAATATATTTAAAGCATGGAAAAAATACTTTTACAAAACAAAACATTTTGGTTGAAGTTATCAAAATGAAATATCAGAACAAGTCTAAAATTTTCCCCATATTTTAATTTTTAACTAAAGGTACTGGGTTTTTTAGAATTTATTAGTAGTTTGAAATCTGCCCAATAGAGTGAATTTGGTATCACTTCAAATAACATACGAGTCTTCAGTTGATGTCAAGTGTGGCTTAATGTCATTCCTGTGATATGGCAGTGTGTCCTGGTCTGACCAGAGATGGGCCAAAGATACCCAGAAATGTGCATCTTCTTCTGGCAGAGCTGGAGAATGGTTTTGAAGTGACCTGTGAAGAAGTGATCTGCTGTTCTCGCTATGTGTAAAGTAAGATAGTAGGGGAGGAAAAACTTGTTTAAGATACAAAATACTGAAAGGCAGAAAAAAAGTAAGCTGAAGCAGAGCTGCATTTCAGATTTATGTGTTTGGAGTAACACTGACTGATGTGTAAAGAAAAGAAACTAAACTCCACAGCATGAGAAGAGTGATCTTTTTCTAGCTTGGTAATAGAGGATTCCAGCAGTAACTATAGCCTCACAGCAACTGGAACCAGTTAGCTATTTTTTGCTTTATTTATTTAAAAATAAATTTCCTGGAAGACATCTGGAGATGCGTCATCTCCTCTCAAAAATGTCCTGGGAAAGTGTCATAGACAGCAAAATCTAACAATTACACATGTTGTAAAGCTGAGATGGCTATAGCTTAATAATTCCTTTCTCAATAGAAAGTTCCATTGATTTCTTTTTTTCAACCTAAATACAAAAGTTATTTCTAGGAACAGATTCCTTTTGTTTTTTCCTTTGAAGAAGGGAGGGTGGATATTCAGTGTATGATTCTTCTCTTAAGCAGCAGGGTTTCAAAAATTGAAATGGTCCTGGCAGTAGAAGTTACAGAAAGGGAACTGCTTGAAGGCCTTTTGGTAGTTATGCAGGGGGGGGTTATTTTCTTTTTGCTCCAACCCCACATGCAAAGTAGGAAGCACAGAAAGCTGCATAACCAAACCCTTGTGCTCAGAAAGGCACAGTGCCCTTTGGCCTGGAGTGGGGGTTTGACAGAAGAGCCACTACAGAAGTTGGACCTGAATTTATTTCCAGCCCCAGTCAGAGTCTGTGAGTACTAAGCAAGCTCTAGTTTGGAGCAATACTTGGGAAGATAACATAAGAGATTTCTCACATATTTCTCTCTCCAGTCAGGATGAACTCTGGGACACACAATATGCATCCCTCTTCATTCAATGGGAATTTCACCCAGCATGTGCTGGCACCATCCTGTGGTTTGTTTCCTTACAGAAACACACGAGTACATTTGCTCTACACCCCTTTCATGGTGGTCTCAGAGGAGGTGCTGGGCAGCCAGCCCATATTCCTCAGGGGTTTGCATCCTTTAATCTTCCCTTCTGGGTTTTTGTTTGTCTTTCCATCTTTCTCTCCACATTTTTGTGCTTCTTAAATCCCCAGAGTCTCCTCTTATAACTTTATTTGAGCCTCTGTGCACTCACTCACACAGAGACCAATCCTGCAGCCACTAAGTCTTGTGAATGGTCTTTAACCATATAGAAAATCTATGGAATTATATGCTAAAAGAGCTACTGACAAGATTAAACATTTGTAGGTCAGATTATAATTAGAGTAATAGATCCAGGATCATCAGCAAAATAGACCTCCAAAAAAATTCCAGATTTAGTTGAAGAGATTACATGAGCAATGTGGGATCAGGGGTTGAAAATTAAGACAGAGCAGCAAAAACCAAGAACTGTATTATGCAACAAGGAACAGGGAGAAAGTGGGAATCGCGAAGAGAAGAGACATTTCTCCATTTTGACTAAAGCTACTCAAACAGCAAATTCTCTTTTCCAGACTAAGATACTTTTAAGTTTTGCACTAAGGTATTTTTAAGTTCTGTACCTACACAATTGGTTTCCTGCTATTTTTCACTGCCTTTAGTACAATCAACATCACTGCTAGCCTCTAAGCAGTTTGCCTTTTGGATTTTACCCTGGGCAAAGAGTAGGTTACAATGTTGCAGTAGTTTGGTCATGACAATAGTGGTGATGAAACATCAATACAGTTACTAACACAAGGAAATTACATGATCAACTTTTTGGGCCCAGCACCATATTGCACTGAGGTCAGCAGGAATTTTTCCATTGATATCAGTGGGTTTCCTATTAGGTTTGCATTATTACTTAGAAGCTCAGCAGCTGAGCTGACTAAATATGCCAGACGGGTTAAGAACATTTGGTTTAAGAATATTTAAGAACATGTTGCAGAAACAAAAACTGCCTCCTAAACTGTGCTTGTGAATGAACTCTTCGTGTTACCTTTGCTTTCTATAAAGGAACTTCACTATGTAACCTTGTATTACATTGTCACTCCTTGCACGCAGCTGGTCTCTACAGGTAGAGAAGGCAGAACACCAGAGCTGTCAGTACTCTGACAAAGGAACAGCATTATCTTTTTATCCATGTTCCTACAAAGAGGATGTTAAAAGGGAAGTTATTTTTGGATCACTAATATGTTTGTCTAACTTGATTTCTCTGTCTTTTTCCTCCTCAGAAGCGAACATCCACTGGCTCAGCTATACTGCCACTCGATCATGGAGCATCATCATTTTGATCAATGCCTTATGATCCTGAATAGTCCAGTGAGTGCCACATTCCTGTGTACGAAAGAAACTGTTTTACTTTCTATTTTTAGCTTCTGTTCTCCTTATATGTTCTTAAGTGCTCTTTATTCCTTTTTGGGTAAAGAAAGTAAATGTAGCCAACATGGATATCACAGCTCTGTTGCTGACTGCCACCAAAGCCTTCCAAGTGCTGCCTGATAAGGGAAGCCTCACTAACATCCTTCTGAGTACCTGCTTCCTTGGACCAAAGGAAACAGAAGGCTTTGTGCCATTTTCACGACCTCTTAATAACCACCAAACAAACCCCAGTCCTTCCTCTCATTTCAAAAACATTCTAGCCTACACATACACAAAGCAGCCCTGAAGAGACCAAACCAAACACTGCTTGTGTTGACATTCCAAAGTGAAGCCAAACCTAAGTTTAGTAAATATGCAAATAAAACTACATTCTTCTTGTTTGATACTATTAACTAATGCTCAAGACCAGTTATTCAGCATTCACAATCCTTCCAAAGGACTGCTCCTTTTGTGCCACCGGTTGTGGTACTTCTGGCATCCTTTGTATTGTAGTGATCCTTTCCTATTCAGGTAGGCAATTATGGAAAAGCAATTGAGGTGAGTTCCATTTCACCTGCTCTGTAGTGCTTTGGTTTAGTAGGGGGCTGCTGAGTTCATACTTTTATTTAATAACTTGTTATTTATGCTACTTCATAAAAGGAAAATATTTTCATTTACTTGAGGTATATGGGAACGTATGGGAATCTGTTATAATTCCTCTGCTTCAGGGAGGGGAAGGATGGAAAGAGAAGCTGTGATACAGCCAGTGACAAGTTTAATTTTAGTGAATGAAATGTACTTGAAGGCTTTGATGTTGCTCTGCTTGCAGTTTTGTTTTGTAATAGTCAGTGATATTGTTGTTGCTGTGCGGCTTTCTGCCATTTCTCGGGAAGACTGGAAGTTTTATTTTTAAACTGGGGAATCTGCAAGAGGAAGGAGGGTAAAAGAATGACCTCAGATATCAGCAAGAAACTTGTAATGATTTGGTGACTTAGAGACAAGCAAACTGGTGTGCTGTTGCTCATTTTACTGATAGCACTGTTTTTGGCTGTTTTTGTAAAGGGAAATCAGATTCTCAGCAGCCTTTCCATTGAAGAATATAAGGCTACACTGAAAATGATAAAACAAGCTATTCTTGCCACAGACTTGGCACTATACATCAAGTAAGTCAGAAGAAACTTTGGCTGAATAATCACTGCTGGATATTAGCATCATGTCAGCATCCTGAAATCTTTTTTTTTTTTAACTTCTTTTTAAGGAGGAGAGGAGAATTTTTTGAACTTCTAAGGAAGAAGCAGTTTAATTGGGAAGATCCCTCACAAAAGGAGCTATTTCTGTAAGTAAAAGCAGAATAATAAAGAAATCAGTTCACATTACTGGGTACCCAATTTCCCATGTCATGTTGCTGTGAACTCCATTAAACCCAGCAGGTCTTTGTGCTCTGGGCCCGTACAAGCTGCCATTCTCACACAGATCACTGAACTGCCTGGGTCTGAACTACTAAGTGTCAACCTGTATAAGAAATTTTGTTAAATAGTATGTGGAGTTTCATTTGCTTTAATTTCACTTGGTTTTCTGACTTGATGTTCCTTGAAATTCTATATTCTATTTTACTAGTCACTGGACTTGGTGGCTACATACATTTCATGTATAGTAATTTATCCCTTTCTTTCTGTTTGTTCTGCAGAGCAATGCTGATGACTGCTTGTGACTTATCAGCCATAACCAAACCATGGCCAGTTCAGCAACGGGTATGTGTTGAATTTTTAAAATAGCCTAAATGCAAACTGCATTGAAGTTTGTTTCCTCCACCCAGTCCTTACTGCAAAGGCAGTGGTGGAATGCTGAGCTGGAGTCTCACAATGTGTGTGGGGGGCTAATATGATATATCCCAAGGAGAGACAGGAACCACTCTTGTTTGTAGGTAGCAAGCAAACTTTTAGAGCTCTCAATGAGTGAACTCTCTTACAGATTGCTGAGCTTGTGGCTACTGAGTTCTTTGATCAAGGAGATAAAGAGCGGAAGGAACTCAACATAGAACCCACGGTAAGTGGCAGAATCGCCTCTTGCCAAATGTCTTATGGAAACAGCACTTAAAATTTCTCCCACTGACCACACTATAGGACCAGCTCCTTCCCTGGCATCCTAGAAGCCAGTTTTGTTCTATGGTTCCAAAACACCAATAGTGAGTCATTATCTCTGAACGAGAAAAACAGTGTTATTTCCTTTAAGTCAGTATTACTAAGTGGGCTAGAAAATACATTCCTAAATTGGTACCTATATGCAGCTATCCAAACCCAGTAAATTTGCCTGATTGTTTGGGCTCTGTCAATCTAAAGCCAGACTCCTGAGGGAAGTCATGCAGTCCAATTCCCTTCATTGCAACACCTGATACCTCACTGTGCTGAGCTTGCTGTGCTGTTTAAGGTGCTGCTTTTTAATTCCAGACTCTTTGGTTTTGGTTGGGTTTTTTATTTAAAGCATTTAAACACAGAGCTTGTTTACTTATTATCTGCAGGATCTAATGAACAGAGAGAAGAAAAACAAAATTCCCAGCATGCAGGTTGGATTCATAGATGCTGTTTGTTTGCAGCTGTATGAGGTATGGTGCATAAGGAAGAACAGCAAATATCTGAAACCAGAGCCACTCACTGGTAGATATGGATTTACAATTAGAATAAAAATCAAATTAAAAACTAGCCCCTTAGCTAGAAAATATTCTTTTATTTTGTATTACATATGGTTCATTATTCTATTGAAGAAATTATTATTTTAGTATTTATAATTAGTTGTATATTTGTCTGATTAATATGTTTTGTCACAATTTTTTTAAACCTAGTTAAAATGCTGTTCAATTGATGTTATGTCCTTGGGTTATAGTCTGGATTATCAGGGAAAGCCACAAAACTCATGCTTTGACCTCTAGGGAAAGAATGGTATTCAGGTAGTGCATTGATAGAAAATGTTTAAAATTTTTAAAGAATTCAGAATTCATTATACAAAAGGTGATGTATAGGAAATTGACCCAATTTTAACACTTCCCATCCCATTCTTTTCCTTCTCTGTCATCACACACCTAAGCATTACATGAGATAATTCACTGAAATGCTTTTTTGTCCTGGTCACAAACTGTATGAGAAGCTGCTTGGTGAAATACAGTGTGAAAAACAACATAATGATTTCTGGGTTTTTTTAAGCCAGTACAACATTGGAGTGAAAGTCTGTTTATTTGAACTGTACCAAGTATTTTACAGAAACCAAGGTGAGAAAAAGGAAGGAGATGAACAGAAAACTGAATCCTTAGGAACCTTCCAGTGGAAGGAACAGGATGATTACTTGAATTTTTCCCTCTGACACAATTAGCTTTTCTGAAAAGAATGCACATTCACCAGTTCAAAGGAAACAGGGATGGAGAAAGGGAGCTACTAGCTGCTGTCCCTGAAAATCAAGTGCTTCTGTGCTGTAGAAACTGTCAGGAAAATAAAGCAGCCTGTGCATTGAAGCCTCAGAAAACTGTCTCCAGTAGGAGGCAGGTCACTGAAAGAAGAGTGTCTCTGCAAAGATACAGATTGGACAAACAGAAAACTTTACCAGAATGCCTGAGCAGACTTGAATGCCCACAGTTCTAGAGCCTGAACATCTATACCTCTTCTGTTAGGGGGGAGCTTTACCTTTCTATTTATGAAAAGACCAGAAAAACTGGAATTATTTACTTTGAAACATGCACTGCTGCTTATATCTACAGTTACCAAGTGATCCTAGTCCAAATGGTACTCAGCTCTTGTGTTAGCTAACCAGCGCATTTAATGATCTACAAGTCTTCCCCTAAGTTCAGAAATCTGAAAAAAATTTGAGAGCTGTGTTTCATTCTCCATTTTTAAATTAAAAATGAAATGCAATTTGTTTTCAGTGTTCTCAATTTGTTTCAGGCGCTAACACATGTGTCAGAGGCCTGCTCCCCTTTGCTGGATGGCTGCAGAAAAAACAGGCAGAAATGGCAAGCCTTGGCTGAGCAGCAAGAGAACCTGATCAATGGAGAAAGCAACCAAGGCAAACGGAACTGACGTGCTGATTTCACCACCATAAGCTCAAGTTCACGTAGGAGACACAGTAATAGGGGAGTATTGCATTTTGCTAAACACTGTATGAATTTGGCTTATGTTTTGCCACTGCTGTATTATTTTTTCCACATTTCAAGATTTAGCATGACTGTGTAGATGCCAAGATTATCTGAAGACAATATGTTTCTCTTATCAACATCTGACTGAGATGGAAGAAGACCTGCGGGGTGGTTTTTGCTATCCCAGCCCACAAGAAGGTACTGGTGCAGGCACTGACTGTGCCCTAGAGCCTGTTGCTTTACAGATGTACATAGTTGTTTAGTGATCATGTTGTGGCCAGTATCAGAAAGACTACTGCATTTTGCACCTTTTCTCTCCCTCCTCCCATTTTGCTGTGTTATAAAAGTATTGAGCCGTCTTGCCTGTTCTCTTTCCAGAGGTTCAGAGGAAAGACTGGGACTCACTGTGGGGAGCCTATTCCTAATAAACTATTGCTAACCTCTCTCAGAAAGCGGAACTGGGCTCTGAGGTGAAAAACCCTGAAGTCTGTGCACCCAATAGAGTTTGGGTTTTTTCCACATTAGATGGATGTCTTAGCAAATGTGTTATTCCAGCTGAAGAAATGTCTAAGACCCCTGTGAATTACTAGGCAATGGGAGTCTCATGAGTTCTGCAGTAGAGGTGTCTGAGCTCTCCACGCGCAACGGAAACTGCTTGAGACCAATGAAATGTCCCAACATAACTGACAGGATCCCATGGAACAACAGCTCCCATAGAAAGCTGCCAGAAGCACTCAGAGAAATGGAAACAAAACAGGATTGGTTTTGTATGCTGGTTTTAACCTCATTTGGAAGTTGATTTTAACATTGTCTAACCAACAGACTGGATCACAGGCAGAAGAGAATGACTGCAAGAGCAAGAGGTGAAAAGCTGAATCAGAATGATGCAGGAAGGGCACACTCCTGGTGGCCACCAATGACTGATTCTTCAGACCAGTGTTACTAGGAAATGGCTATGACCACTCTGAAGAAAGTTTTATGTTACTATCTTGACATTAGTTAAAAATGATTAATCATAGTGTCTTGAAGAAATAGGAAAAAAATAATACCAAAAGCAAAAATAGCCAAGAGTGTTACAGGGAAATGTCATCTGTATGTGAGGCATTAATGTTCTGTAAAGTAAGAAATCAATTAACTTGCACTATAAAAAGAGAAATTGATGTATTATTTAAGTGAAGATAATTAATAAAAATGGTTTTTAATTGGGAAGCAATTAAATAAAATATACACATTGGACAAATCCCAAAAGAGGAATACAAGGAGAATACTACTTCTTAGATGGACAGGATAAGGAGATGAATGCCATGAAGTCTAAAATGCATTAGCAGCACATGCAACTTTGGCTGCACAGAGACACACAAAATATTCCAGTTTTTAAATCTGTAATAATAATTTTTTAGTTAAAATCGGCATTTGGCAAAAGTAGCCCATTTGGCACTGGACTTTGAAGTGTGGGAATTTAATTCTATCACAATAATCCAGGAAATTCTAGTTGGAAACTGCAATAAATTCTTCGTCCCAGGAGATTGTCAAGCCAACTTGTAAGAGCTGGTCTAAAAGGGAAAACTCCCTTTTTATCAATTTCTTCATTTAGATAAACTATGCCAGAAGCTAAGAAAAGATGAAGCAAATGTTTCAAAATGTTTGATGATACTGAGTTAGAGTCAATATTTTTTTAAATGTAAAACAAGGTATTCTGACAGTAGCATTTCTGCCACCCTAAATTATTTGTCACTGATGAAGTCCTATCTCAGACTTCTCTAGTGAGCACCAATAATAAATGGTTGCAACTATGAATTTGAAAACATTTTTCTACAGAAGTATTTCTCCTCATTCTATCCCAACAAATTTAAAAAAATTAAAAAAAAAAAAGGAGGGATTGCAACACTCACTAAGAATTCCAGGACTGCTGTTTTGCAGTACTCCATATGTGTATTTCTGTGCATACACAGTCTGCAGGTGACAGCAGCCTGACCCTGCCAACACAACCCCCCACAAAAAGGTTTTAGGTACTTTTGGATAAATAGAAAACTTTGCTTCAGGATTTGCATAGCCCTTGTATAGTCTTTTCCTTGAGTGCTTGAGATACTGAAATATAATTATTATGCTGATGAGATAAATATTTAATATAAATAGGAATAAAATATATGTATATAAAGGGGTATTCTTGCTATTATGGTTGAGACTAGTAACTCATGGTGACAACACAGCAAATAACTATGATGATATCACAGTGTATTGATGTAACTTTGACATTAATATTCCAGTATTTCTTGGGTATATTGTGTGTTCAGCAAAGCTTTATTATAACTAAATTTATAAACGCTATGAAGGAGTGCTGGATTCATACCTTTGACTTGAAAAAAAGGGCATGATGTTACATTTTTTTAAAGGTTCACTTAAAATGAACAGTTATACAGTATGTGCATATATTTAATTATATATCTGTACACATTTATCCCATAGAGTCTTTTCCACCATAAATGTTGGAACATACATCTAAACATACAGTTCCTAGTAAATAAACATTTAAATATCATAGCACACCTGTATCTGTATATATTTACACAAAACCAAAGCCTTTAAACTACTGGTTTAAGAACTTTAAAAGCATAGAGTACTGTATTTCATGAGATTCAGAGCCTTTACAGAGTGGTTTAACTCCGCCTGAAGGCAAAATCACAGTGTGTCATGGCTTTGTGAGACTCAATTGCAGAAAGTGCTCCTTCCTTTTATAATGTAGACAGGGGACAATATGGGAAAAAAACCCCAAATCCAACTTGGCTACAGCAAGTTTCCTGCATCAAGTTCACTGTCTTCAGACTTCAACCTTTTCAAAGCCAGCTGGTGGATTACAGCTATGCAGCTGTCATTAATTTCATCATGAGCTATATCTCATTATTTCAGTCTGCTCTCAAATACATTACATTGTCTAGCTGTAACAATCAGTGTGGCTTACACAAGAAACCAGCTGAAATGGAGTTTATCACTGTCAGTTCAGCCTTAAATCCATTGAAACCATTGTCACATTTGAGATTTAAATCTCTGGGGACAAGAACTTGTCCCACTAATCCTTAATACTTCTCTCAATGAGGACAACTAAGTTAGTATCCTACTTGATCTCAGATACAAACATGATTTCTTTCAAACTCATTCCACAGCACAGTTTAATGCTTGAAGTACACATTTACTTCTGGATTTGTTCTGAAAAAAATTACTTGTGTTAACACAAAATTACTGATTAATCCTACCTCTTCTAATTCCAACATTGAAGCTCTTGAGCTGTAGGTACTGTTTCTCTTCCAAGAAATTAGCCACACATGCAATAATAGCTGTAGAAGGCCTAGGTTTTCTATTACACCATACAGTTAAAGAAAGTGGGGAGGAAATAATGTAATGCTGACTTTGGAGATGGTGTGACTTTATAATTAGAGGCAGTTTATAGTTAAGAGCAGATTACTCATATCTTCACTGTGCACATATACAAGTGAGCTACTGATAAAAGGAAACAATTAACTTCACTGATGATTAGCTGATTTCTCCTCAGAAGAGAGAACCAAAGCCTCTTTACACACATCACCCCCTGACAATTGTATGCATCTTTTGAATTCCAACCCAATAAATTTTACCTGGTAGAGGTATGAACTGACAAATTCAGGGCACTTAATTAATTCATACGTAAGGTTTGTCAAAATTACCAGGTAACTGATTTTCCAACCCATTATACAGAAAGATAATGAAGAATCAGGCCTAGGCCCTTAAAATTAGAGGAGTGATTCAGCTGCTGTCCCTTTGAGTCAAGCATAAGAACACAGCAAAGACTTTATATGGAAAAATGTTGCATTGCTTGTAGTAAATTCACATGTTTTTAAAGGTTTTTATAAAGACCTCATATTTCAAGCAAATTTATATAGTAGTATTCATTCAGAGTCTTATCTCTGTGATGCTGCAGGTTTTTTCTTCATGTTAAATTACATGCAGTTTACATTCCACAAGGTTTTCAGCTTTATTTCCTAGTTCCCTGCTGTACTTTTTCAGGGGCTTGCACTAATTTAAAACATAAGCTTGAACAGCAGAATAAGTTTGGCCAGAGTATGGTAAATAATGAGGGCTGAGTTTTTTGCTTTGGACTTTGACAGGAAGAAGAAACATCACAGAATCTGTCCTGGTAATTAGTGACACTCACTAAATGCAGCAAATTGTGATAGCAGGATATTTCATCTTGGTCATTGCGAGGTGAATGGAAACTGCATGGGAAAGTTTCTCCTCTACATAAGGAAGGTTGTTTTCATAGAGAAGCTAAAATCTGAGTACCAGTGTTTGTAAATGTGTATTTATGTGACAATGCTCTGTAATTGCTGGTTCCCACTGACTCCCACAGCACGAGTTTGGCATGCCAGGGCCTCACGCATGCTCAGATGCCCACCTGAAGTCAATATTGTGATTCCCATTTACCTCAGGGGAGCTGGGTTGTGCTGTATAGAAAGTGAAAGAATGGGTCAAATCCATCTTTTCTTACCTGTAAAGAGGGACCAAGCCCTTATCCTTGGTGACAGCTGCCTCGCCTGCTCTTTGCTGGTTCAGCTATTCCCACCGATGCCCAAGGATGTACCTTACAGATGTAACTGAAGTTAGAATTTGAGTCCTCTTTGTATTCACATGGCAGACACCTGCATGTGTCTCTTAAAGAATGTAGTTTGAAATGCACTGTAAATAGTTTTAACATACATTCCTATTATAGTTTAATAAAAACCTTAATCACAGTCACTAGTCACTGAGTTTGTCCATTTGTATTCTTCTATCTTTTAAAAATACCTGAACAAATATATAGTTTCTGGGCACAGTATTTTTGTACTAGGTTAAGGGGTTTCTCTGTATATTATGTTTTTGCCTTTAAACAGTATTAAAGTCTTCTGAATGTCATGTGTTCTGTCTTGCTTCTGTCCTATGACTTCTTAGAATAAAGCTAGTTACATTACTTAAGAGAATCATTAGCCCTACTTACCATACAGCTGCTAGAGAACATAAGGGTCAGCTTATTTTATTTGGTCAGATTGCTGCTTATTACTTATTTCTTCATTCTTCTCTTTGTACAGTTTTCATGCTTTTTGAAATAAAAAGGATGATGTAAAAGTTTACTGTTTGTTATTATTAATATTATTGAGGTGTAATTTTTAATGCCTGATTCAAATCATTTGCTTCTGTAAATTTGTATTTCATAGTAACTTTTCTAGGTCCTAGAAATCCTGAAGAGAAAAATATCTATTAATATCAAGATACTTCTGAGTACTACTGAGATCAGCCAGCAGTAAAGTAGTTCTTGTTTCAAAACCACAAAAAATAACTCAGTGCCACTGACCACTAGAGAGCACTGGAGCTGCACCTCCTGAGAGCTGTCAGAAGCCAGTTCATTTCTGACAGAAAGCAGAACCAGTAAATACAAGGGTTACACAGATGTATCCTCATCCTCTGCCCCCATAGATCAGTTCCTGGGGGATATCAATTGTAAGAGACGTAGAAATAGTCAGCCCAGTGACTTCAACCAAAATCATGGGAAAAAAAATTTTTCAACAACCAAAGAAACTGCTGATCCTAGAAGTAATTCGGGACCAGTGGGGCTTCTTGGCAATTTCTCTTCTTTGCCTATTAGCTCCTTCACAGCAACACTTCTGGTTTGACTTTTTTTAGCTCTAGGCAAAACCAAGAAGTATGTACACCCCTGACAAACAGCAGGCTCATTCAAGAAGTTATGAAGGGCCAGATTTAGCTCAGCACAAAACACAAGCACTGTTTGCTTGAACCAACTGCATTTATGAGTGCAACTGCACAAGTGCCCGTGCATATCTGCAAACACCAGGTCACCATTTGCTGCTGGGACTACAACCTTTCCATCCCCTCACCAGCCCAGTCATGCTGCTGCTCAGCCTTTCTGGCCTGCTGGAGGTTTGAATTCCCTTCTGAGAAGTGGCAGTGTTTGCAGCAGGAGCACTGGGATCCATTTCTTACCCAGCCCTGGAAAGAACACGACCTTGAGCAAGGGCATTTTTATTGAAGAGGTGAACGAACATCACACAGGGTTTGTCTCTTCTTGTACAGGTCTGATGCCTCATTAACAAATGGAAAAGACAAAAGCTCTTTCCTCCAGCCACATTTTTAGCAGCAGTGGTGACAGCTATTGCATTTCACATTCCCATGAAACCTCACCCTTTAAGATTTTTAGAAAAAATCTCACATGAGTGAGTTTGTTCCGATAGTAAGCTTTAGGGACAGACTTATGGAATCTGACAGTCACTGAGTTTTAGAACAGTAGCATTTCTTAACACACACAGAACTTTAGAACCACTTCAGCTGAAAAATACCCCAGTTCATAATGGCTCTGAAATGGCTGAAAAAACTACAGTTTACAGAGGTTTCTCTTGTTTAACACCATCAAATTCTAGGAGTAAATCCACGGTTGAATCGTACCAATAGTTTACACATGACACATTTGCATATAAGCATTCAGGATGCTTTTATTGTAGTAGTTAATTAAGTCACTGGCAATTTATTTTATGATATATAGAGCCTCTTAATGAAAGGAAAGTTCATTTTACAGATAAGTAGAGGGGTTAATTCGATCAAGGTCACATGGAAAATCCATTTCTGAGCTGGAAAGGGCACCAGAACCTGGGTGTCTGTTCTGCTTTTACGTGAGACACGTGATGCCCAAACTAAGAAAGGAATTTTAATCTGAAACCATCTTTTCCTTTTGCAAATACAAATATTTAAACATCTTAGCCATACAGGGTGCTCTCTTGCTATAATGCTGCACTTCAGAAGAACTCTGAAGTTCACTATTTTAAATATTAAATTAGATTCAAGCCACTAATCCAGACAATCACAAAAAACTTTTGTGGGGTTTGGAGCCATATTATAACCAAGAGAAAAAGTCCACAATAAGCAAAACAGTTGTGTTGAAATGAGCTAAAAGTACTTTCAATACTGTACATTTTTAGCTCCCTGGACTATAACTTGACCCCACTCTATGATCACATTTCATATTCTAAACAAAAAGAAATTGGGGAATGAAGGCATATTCAAGTATAAATTTAAATACCCTTAGAAAAGCCTGACAAAAAGCCTCACAGGACAACTGGCATATCAGTCTCTGTGTGGCAAGTGTCAAATGGCACTAATGCCATTCATTTAACCTTTTCTGGAAAAGCACACTTACTTTTATTGGCAATTGTTCACTGTCTCCCTTTTTTGATTGAAACAAGACCAGATTCTCTTATTCTACGTGATCCTAGGATTCATTTTAGCATACAGAAACTGACAAAATAAATACCAGGGTTGTTACTGTTTTAATCCTAAATTTTGCTTCCAGATTTTTTTCAACCTGGATCTTATGAGCTCCTGCACTTCCGTTTTCTCCAATAAAAAACTCTCAAAAATGCAGCACTTTATGGATCAGAGCCATTACACAGGAATTAGAAAGCAGTGTATACACACAGTTACGAGCAAGCTTTAAAACACACAGCCCACTGCTAACTAATTACACAAATGGATCTATACTCACTGGAAATTTCTAGGCAATCTTCAAATGCTGAATTTTCTTGCTGAACAGATTTCACATTAGCAGCATCCAGGAGATTCTCCTCCAACAAAAGTAAAAGCAGAAATTCAGCAAACAGGCAGCTGCAGTAGGACAACATCTAGCTCAAGCAGGATCTAATCCTGCTGCAATGCAACACCCAACTGCAACAGGTACTTTGAAATTATTTATCCAAGACATGGCATTAGTTAGGCTCCATCAAGCTCCTGGTTGCTAGGCCACCCACTGTTAGGCTTAAATTGGCTTTACTGGCATACAATTGTCTATTTACCACATTGGTACAGAATTGAGTATTGTGGTTCAAATGCTTAGTGAAACTTCCCAGTAAAGGATCCATCTTTGCAACCCACCCCAAGACATAATGAAGAATCATTCAGTAGAAAACACCCATAAGTACTGCACAATCTGCATGGTTTTATCAGGGATTAATCTCGTATTATAGAAATCAATATTTTCATTAGTATATTATGTTTATGCTGGCACCAAGCGTTAACCAACCCAACAGTTCTACTGTTCTGGCTAATTTTAGTCAGAAGAACTTGAATACAAGCCACAAAACAATAAACAGGGGAGATGAATACAACCTGCTGCAAAAGCCTTTTTGTCACCCTGATCTTTGGAACTTCACTGGAAATTGCCATCACAACACACCTTGCTACAATGATCATCGACTGGCAGGATGAGGTTGGCATAACCATATAAGTTAATAATTTATTGCCATCCACCTCATCTAAAGATCAAACTTCAAAGTCAGTAAGATTGTCCATTTTCAGTGTTCTGAAGCTGGCACGTTGGAGAAAGGCACGAAGCCAAGAACACACCCTTAGCTTTCAAAACTGTCATGAAAAAAGCAATGCTAAAAAACAAGATTTCAATGCACCATCAAAGAAAAAGCTGTAGTTCTGAAAACCACACAAGGAAGAAGGAGACAGAAAAAGGAAAAAGGTTGTGGAATATTCCAACTAAGGAAATCTACAAAACCGATTTTAATTGTGATTTTAGAAGGAGAACCAGCTACTATAGGAGGACAAAAGAACTCTAAATGCAGTCTAGATTGTATGATTCTAGTACATGTGAAAAACCAAAGTCCTATTTTGTCATACTGAGCAACTCACATTATTTTAGACTTCGATTTTCTACTAAATACAGCAGAAGCTGCACTACAACCACTGCCAGAAGACTGTGAAGAGAGTTACCAGTTTTGTTATGTAACAGCTTGGATGAACTCTAACTCAGCACTGGGTGTTTATGTGTATAAACTACACAGATCACGTAAGATTGCCAGTGATAACTAAAAGGTCACGATACCCACCAGTGCAATAAAAACAGATAATCTGACTCTTAGACTAAAGTCTGCCCATCTTCTGAGCTGGCAGATGGGCATGCATTATTGGCACAGCACAGGGCATGAGCTAAAACATTTTTTGAGTTATTCAGGTGATCAAAAACCGCATGAAACTGTGGGGGAAAACCTCCATGTGAAAACTATGCACAAAAACCTAACTGTTGTTGTGAAATGCACATTTCAATGTGAGGTACTTCCCTCCTCACCCTCAGGAGTAAAGAGCCTGATCACCTTCCATCTGGCTGGTTTCTTCACTGAATGTGTTATAATGAAGGAAATTTGTAGATGCTGCTGAGAATTTAAACTACATATACAAAACAACTGATCACATGAATAGAGACTACCATCCCAGTTTCCACAGCTCAGTGTTAGACAGGCAGCAAGAGGAGTTTTTGGAAACAACCTGCAGACATTCAGTAAATCCTCTGGCCCATGCTTGTTGTACCGAGCAGAACAGGCCCCAAACAAATTATAATGGACAAAGCAGAGACTTGTGTTTGTTTTGTTGGGTAAATAATATCACCTCCAATTGTCTGAAGACCCTCTGACAATCTTGAAGATGCAACTGAGACAGAAAATGTCAAGCAATGCTGTTAGTTTAATTATTACTTTCACTAGACACTGGATTTTTACCCCACATTGTAGATAGAATGAATGGATTAGCAATTCTTAATTGAGATGAGCAATAAAGATTCTGCCATGATGTGGGGGCAATAAGACAGCTTCAGCAAGCAGTGTGGTCAGGACTGGGAATTTGATTAAATAACAGGAAACTTCTCCTTGGAGAGGTCAGCATATCGGTTGAGCTTTACTCAGCCTCGTCATCCAGTGAATTGCCTTCAAGATAAGGCAGTACATAAATTCCCTGTGCAAAGACTCGGCCCTGCAGAGCAGCCCTCCTGCAGGCACAGCCATGGCCTTCGACGGCACTTGGAAAGTTGACAGAAATGAGAACTATGAGAAGTTCATGGAAGCAATGGGTAAGGCTCATCTTTCCAATCCCTTCTGCAGGAAAAATATCACTCCAGCTGAATGCAAACCCAAACTGTCTGAGAACTACCTTCGGGCCATCCTGGCCTTTCACTCTTGGCTGCTCTGCCCCTGCATCTATTTTCAAAATATCCTGAGGCAGGGGGGGGGAAGATGCTGAGAAATGTTCTGATTTTAATTACTCTGCATTAATCTTAAGCATTTTAAGTAATTCCAAATTTATTTCAGCAGAAAAAAAAGAATATCTAAGTCTAGATTTGAGGAAAAGGCTCAGACAACTTGAATGGATAAACTTTAAACTGAATTCTATAACTGGACTATTATTTTGACAACATCAAACCAGTTTAAAAATTCAACAGGGAAGAAATCATCATTCTTCAATTTCAGAGAAACAATTCAAGTAATTCTAACATCCTGATATTTACTTGAAGTTTGTAAAAAGTGTGCGTTATATGGACATAAATCTAACTACTGCAGTTAAGACAGCAATTTGTATTATATGTGTACTAGTGAACATGGCCTTGATGAAACCTGAAGGACAAATATTTGGGTCAGAATGCTGGAACAAACTCACTTGGCCACATAGAATTGATTAAAAAAGACAAATATGATGCTCCAGCAGAGATTTGGGGAGTGTTTTCTGATTAATGTTAACTGATTTGTTTAGGTGTTGGCATGATGAAAAGAAAACTGGGAGCCCATGATAATCTGAAGCTCACCATCCAACAAAATGGGGACAAATTTAATGTCAAAGAAGCCAGCAACTTCCGAAACATAGAGCTTGAATTTACTCTGGGAGTCAACTTTGAGTACAGCCTGGCTGATGGGACTGAACTTTCTGTAAGAGTCTTCCTACACAGTTCAACATTTACTACGTGATAATGACTTTATAACGTGCAGTTTCAATAATTTGTCTTCCTAGTTTTTAATTTAAATTCTCCTTCTGAATTACATTAAATTTTCCTGAACCTAACTGTTCAGGAATGCTTGCAGCTTATACACCAAAGCACAAGGGAGTATTTACTGTCAAAGGTTCAACACTGTACCATGGATGTCAGGGTTCCAGAGAGCCCAAAAAGCAAAGCAAGAAGCAATTTTCACAAGATGAAATCCAGGTGATTTGCAATTTTACTTCTAATACTCAAGTCCACCACCTAGAGCGCAGAGTGGGTATTTGTAAGAAATTACAAATCTCTCTTGATACAATTATTTAAAATAAAGTGTGCTGACCAGTAAAAAACACCTAGGTTGGCTATTATGCATTTAAATTTAAAAGCCAATGGTTTTATTAAAATTTCATTTTTACAGCCTTTCTAAAAAGCATTTTTACACTGTTTTAATCTTTTTTCTCTTTTAAGTATTCTACAGCCTTTAAACCAAATCAGTGCCATAACTGTTGCAAAACATTTGGGGTTTTTTCCCATCATAGGGTGCTTGGACCCTGGAAGGAAATAAACTTGTGGGCACATTTACCAGAAAAGACAATGGAAAAGTACTTAAAGCAACCAGAGAAATCGTGGGTGATGAGCTCGTTCAGGTGAGTTAAGACATTTACACACAAGTTCGCAACAGAATCAACAGAAAAGTTTTAAAAGCTTTTCTAAAAGTAGAAAATATTTTCTTCAAGCCAAATAACTTCATTTATCTATAGTTAATAGTTTTAACTATTTTAAAATAGTTAAAATTTATTTATAGTTAAAATTTATCTAGAGTTAAAAAATTCTCAGTTGCATATAAAGAAATTAAAACTCTCCAAACCACATCTGGGAAATGAAACTGCAATTCCAGCCACTGATTTTTCTTTCATAATTTTTAACAGACCTACGTATATGAAGGAGTTGAGTCCAAGAGATTCTTCAAAAGGGGCTAAGCACTTCACACAGAAACTGCACCGCAATGAAGGAACAATAAAATATCATTTTCTATTCATCCTCTGAGTTGTTTACCTTTCCATCCCCTCACAACACCTCCCTACAGCTACCTAGCCCTGCTGAAAACATGGGCTAGTTCTTTATGTTACTGGTTTGCCTTGAATGAACAAACTCCCATTACCAAACACTAAAATCTCTTTTGTACCTAGTCCTACTGAAGGGTCACAAAGGCTGCAGAAACAGAACTTCAGTATTTTTTGCACAAGCTCTCAAATGGAAACTTAGTTTCCTTACAAAGGTACTCCTACTGAGAAACAGTTTCTCTCTGTCTTTAATATTGTGCAAAATTATGGGAAAACCAAAAATAAATAAGATAACAGAGATGGGGATAAGGCTTAAAAGAGAAGTACTGTCATTGTTTTGCCTCAAATCTCTTCATCTACTACACATGCTCAACCAATTCCTGCTGTACAAAGACAAATCCATCCTTATTTCTATTGACAGAACTTACAAAGGAAAACTATCCGTAAGTGCTTGTTTAAGAAAAGTAAGCTCTGTTCAGAAGCACCTGCTTGCAATCTGCCTTATCTCTTAATAAAATCTCTTGATATCTCCTAATACTGAGGCTAAGAAGGGGTCATAGCTGCCAAGAGAAAGGTTTTGTTTCACACACTCCTGGGCTTCTGGTTACTCTTTGGGACACAAAAATGATAGCCCTGGTTTCAATGTGGAGTGAACTGGAAGAACTGAGGGTGGCACATCCCAGCTGTGAGTGTGGCATCAGGTCGTGCCACTTCATTTATTTTTATTTACTACTGCAGCTGTGTGTTGTGCACGTAAAGCACAACACAATACACTATCTACATGAACTTTTCCACGTCTGTTCTGTGCACAAGCTCCAACTAACCTTAAGGAGAGGAGTGTATCTTAAAACAATTTTAATTTTCCTAAACTTCTTCACAAGAGGATTCCCAAAAGGTCTCCTAGTTTTTCTCAGGGCATCATCTGCTCTCCATGAAACCGCACCGGGACGAGTTGGTCAATGTTTATTTCCACACAAGCCCCGGCACAGGTGGCAGGACAAGACCAACACGGTGTGACAGGACTGACCGCCTGCTCCTCCCCAGTGTCCGCATCTCACCTGGCAGGGAGCAGCAGCCAGCAGCGCTCAGGAAGGAATGTCAGTCACCAGCGCTGGGGAATCCACAACAAGCATCACTTATCCCCAAAACAGAGGGACAAGCAGAAATACTGTCGGTGTCCGGCGTCTTTACCTCAAGAGCCCGCCCTACGGGACGGTGCCTGAGGCAGGAGGGCCGGGGCTGTGCCTATGGCAGGGATTGCGGGGCTCCCGCCGAGGCGGAGACGGGGAGGAGGCGCGTGAGGCGGGAATGGTGGAGCTGCGCCTGAGGCGGGAACGGCGGGGCTTTCCTGAGGCGGGCATTGCGGGGTGGTGCCTGAGGCGGGAATGGTAGGGGCTTTGGCTGAGGCGGGAATGTCAGGGTGGTGCCTGAAGAGGGGATCGCAGGGCTTTGGCTGAGGCGGAGCCTTGCCTGAGGCGGGAATTGCGGAGCCTTGCCTGAGGCGGGGGGGCCCGGGCGGTGCCTGAGGCGGGGACTGTGGGACTTTCCTGAGGCGGGAATGGTGGAGCTGTGCCTCAGGAGGGGATTGCGGGGCTTTCCTCAGGCAGGAATGGCGGGGCTTTGGCTGAGGCGCGAATGGTGGAGCCTTGCCTGAGGCGGGGATTGCATTCCCTGAGGTGGGAATGGCGGGGCGGTGCCTGAGGCGGGAGGGGCGGGGCCGCAGCGCGTGATCCCGGGGGCGTGGCCATGGTACGTGCGTTCCGTTCTCATTGGTGCCGCACCCGGAAGAGCCTCTGGTGCCTGCGCGGTGGGGCCGCCCCTGCATCCCCTTTCCGCAGGGGCGATGGAGGCGGCGGCGCGACGGCGGCTGTGGGAGCCGGAACGGGAGCAGGAGCGGGAGCAGGAGCAGGAGCAGGACGATGGTGGGAGGGTGATGTCACGATCCCTGTCGGGACAGTCCTACTGGCTGGACCTGTGGCTCTTTATCCTCTTCGATCTGGCGCTTTTCCTGTTCATCTACTTGCTGCCCTGAGGGCGCGGCCCAGGTGAGGAGCGGCGTTCGGGGGCGGGCGGGCCGTCGGTCTGTCCGTCTGTCGGTCGGTCAGCCCGACGGACTGTGCCGCCTGGAGGAAAGGGTCCGCTTCAGGAGCGGGACCCTGGGAGCAGCCTTGGCATTCCCAAAGCCCCGCCTCAGAAGGCCTCGGGAGCACAAATGCCTGTCAGGAAACTGGAAGCTGATTCCAAACCACCCCAGCTTTATTTATTTGTTTGCGCGATTTATTATCCGCTCTTTGTTCAGGAGGTGTGATTGACGCTCCTTGCATGTCAGTATGTCCTGACAGGCTGTGCAGCGCTACGAACATAACCAGACCTTTCCTGTTCCCCGCAGGGCCATTGCCACCAAGGGAATTCTCACCTATTTCGCACCTTACGAACACAGGCGGTGGAAGAGGAGGACCATTTGTGCGGGATAAGCACCTGGGAACACGACTCCACTTGAGTGTGGATGGAGGAGGCACATTGTTGTACTGTACCGCGATCAACCTCTGTGTCACAAGTGCCACTGTTCGGCTTTTGCCTGTGTCCTGCTCGTGTGTCCTGAGCCGTGCCTTAGAGGTCCCGTACCACAGACTGACCGTGCTTTGTGATTAGTGCCTAGAGGTCTGTTGGGCAGAAATGGAAGAATGCACCGTGTGAATAAAATCCACTGAAAGGACAGCCTGCAGAGGGGCTGAGAATAAAACCCAGCTCTTCTGTACACTGAAGATGTAGCTCAGACCTGTTCCCTCAACAGATGAAGCTTGGCCAGCTGTTCTGCTTCCAAAAAGTTAATTCTGATGGGTTGATGCTGGTTGGTTTCTTATTATACCTTTCTCTGGTTTTTCTTTCTTTACCTTCTGCAGTAACTGAGCCCTCTCAGACTCAGTATTTATAGATATAAATACGTACATATATAAACATGTCAGTGTTTAACCCAGCAGCAGTGTCCTGTCCTCACTTACTGATTAAGATAAATCAGGTTCTGATTTCCTTGCTAGAAACTGTGAAGGAGGAGCTTACAAGAGCAGCCTTGAGTCACTGGCAGATGACACATAAAGATCCCTCCTCCTCACCGCCCATGGATGGTATAAGCAGACAGTGGCAGGTAATTAAAAGGTTGCAACATCAATTTCCTCTGTCTCACTAGAGGGAGACTTTCAAACTTGTTTTAAAGGGAGGAGTCTCTTGCAGTCTTTGAAGAAGGAAAGAAGCTGAGCACATGGGGTGAGCTTTTTGCCAGGACTGGGTTGGGGGAAGACAGTTTTCAAGCTTTAGATGAAGGGGGTTCAGTTTTCTTCAGCATTTTCCCCTGGGAATACAAATTTCTATTTCTGAGAAGTACAATCCATGCTTGTTGGCTGTTTGTTTTTTTTTTTTTCCAGAAGTACATATAACAAAATAACTGGATTGCAGAGACTTGGAACCACAGAGTGGCTCAATGTCTTCCCACACAATAAATGAAAATGGACCAGGATGAGGTTGAATAGCATAGGGGATGCAAAAATAGACAAATGTTCTTTCCTTCTATTTTTATTCCATTGTGAAGACAGCTTTGCTATTGGCAGTGGTTTGTTTCAGTAGTCAGCCCTGTGCTGTAGGAACAGAGATGCTGTGCCCTGCTGGCATTTATCATCCTGGCTGCTGGCACCTGTGAGATCAGAGTGGTTTCAGGGATCTTGACTCAAGGTGCACAGGAGCCCTGCACTGTGACTGCATTCTCACAAACACCAGAACGGGCATTCCAGTTTTTGAATGAGGCCATTAGAGACAAGTTCACTATCTTCACTACCTTTTTTTACCCCCCTTCAGGCATGATATCACAAGTGAAAGCCCCAGTGAACAACCTATCAGGAAAAGACTGTAATGTTACTCCATTTCTTTTTTGATAAAGAAGATAGGTGAGATTTAAAGGCTTAGTAAGTTGAATTTCAAGGTATCTGCAACTAATTTAGTTTTCTCCTTCAACCAGATCTGACATTAAAGGTTTTGCTTATCTAGGAAAAGTTAAGAGCTATCAAAGTGCTGCACTGAGCTCCAGCTGTTCCATAGGCACATGGAGCTCCTAAGTACAGAGATCCAGGTAAATTCTGCTTATCCCTAGTAAAGAAAGTAAGGTAGCTCGTGTATCCATCAATCACTTGTCACCAAATCTGTGGGATTATGGTATAAAAGTGGCTTTATCCATTTCATAGCTGTTTGAAAAGTTTAATCTATTTAATAGCTTTATGAACAAATACTTCAGAAGATGAATTTTACTGTTCAGAAAAGGTAACCAAACCACCATCTCAACAAAAACTTTCAGCCATCAGTTAGCAGCATTATGTGTCGTGTTAAAAATGTAGTTCTGGAAAGGCAACCTTTTTTCTTAAACACAAAAAGAACAGACAACAAAGATTTTAAATTTTTATCTTGATGTTTTGAACAAGTAGAACTTTGCAAGTAAATAATTCTAAAGACTGAAAAATATATTAATTACAATACTCGTTAATATCTTTACTGTTACAAAAATTGTCTAGGCTCTTATACAAATCTATAGCTGGAGGGGGACATTTATAAAAAAATAAATAGGCACCCTAGGTAAGTTAAAACGAGTTATCACATATTTGTTAGCAAATATTACATACATACATACATGGAGTGCAGAGGCAAATGTAAAAATGAAGGTGCCTTGATTAGCTGTCTGTTTAATCATGAAATACCTGGTAAACGTGGGTCACAGAGGAAGCTGTCTGCTGAGATTGCTCCAAGCTAAGCGAGGAAACTGAAGTACACCTAAGTTACTGCAGCTCTTTAGAGAGGAGTTTACCAGTTGTGCTTACTGGGAGCAGAGTTCATTGGTATCAGTAAGAGGCATTCATATTGCTTGTGGTACACAAGTATCAACATTGCTATGCATGTTTAAAAATAAGTGTTCTAACATCATTCACAGTTGCTGTGCTATCCATACATAAAAATACTGTCATTTCAAATACAAGATTTTTTTTGGTTTTTTTTGCAAAACATAATTTTACAAATTATACATTATTTACAAATTCCAATAATCATGTTTTTTACACAGGGATTAGAGGACAGTTGTACTTAACTGGCTATGTATGTTATGTAACATGGCTAGATGAAATTGAAAAGTTTGATTTACAGGTTCTGAAATCTCTCTTAAAAATATTACAATAGGAATCACCCAAGTTCTTACATTTTTAGTGTTCTTCTGTAGTCAGTTAATTTTCCTACAAAAGGATCTTTGTTTATGTTGCTGTTTAATAGCAGCCATACAGAAACATGCATAGCATTTTCACTATAAATTCTAGAATTCATTTTTTCCCCAAGTGCTACAACAAATCTTGATCAAGAAGGTAGAAAGGTTAATCTGAGATACCTGGTTTCTTGCATATATATAATGTTCCAGTTCTACTGTAAGGTACATGTTATTTAAAAGAAAAAAGAACCTGACCTTGCCACAGAATAACCAAAATCACTGCTTAAATGTTTACCTTGGATAATTGTGCTAAACAATTGCTATCATTTGGTTGAAGCACTAAAACACGTGCATAAGGTTATAAACATGAAAAAAGTTTTTCTGATGTATTATTTTAATAATAAAAGGCATTGATGTTTAGGTGTAATCAGCAGCACCCCAAGTTAACACTCCAATGTGAATAATGGAAAAATTTTACCTTTTTAGGTTGTGCCAGGCTTTGCTATGCTGCCTCAGCACTCAGTAGATGGTTCTGTGCACTGATTTCACTAACCAGATAAAAGCCAAATAAATCTTCCTCCTTGGTACTGAGATAAGTCAGGTTAACAATAGACAAGGTAAATTCCAGAGCTGCCAAAACTGGATACAGAGTGACAGAGCAGAGAAAGAGGAATCTTTCCTTTCCATGCCTCCTTAGCCACCAGTCTGGCTGCACATTCAGCCTGACCCGCTAATGCAGACCATGTCCACATGTAGGACTGATCCAAATGGGAAAACATGTTAGTTAAAAAAAAAAAAAAATTGAGAAAAAAATCAAATGTGTGATCCCCATGAACCAAAATGTCAAAGCTGGAAAAAAGGGGGAGTTTAATAAATAGCAGCATTGACTTTGCATGCAATTGTAGAATAAGTCAGAACTGAAGGTAAGTAGGAATTACTTCTAAAATGTTACAAAATTCATCTCTCATAGTTGCATGACTCTATTTAAAATTAGCATCCTATTCTGTTGTACTGGTTTGTAACTTGTTAAGTTAAATTTAATAAGTTAAAGTATACAGCTTAAAGGATGAACAAATCTGATAAATGTGTTTAAAAATGTACACTAACAGAGCAGAGGTATTAATAGGAAAGCATTACTGCAGTTTACTTAAATTCCCTTTGAAAGTCTAATTAAACACTTGCAAACCAAAGTGGTTTTTAAAGAAGTATTATTATTAAGGCTTCTCAAATAAAAAATAAATCCTCTGGGTAAACTTGCATTAAAGACACTTGAAGGTTTGTGAAAGCACAGACTCTGAGAGACATGGCTTGAAAAAAACCACGTCACCTCTTGCTACCTCTGAGGATAAATACTGCTCTGTTATGACTTCGTGTACTGCATTAGTTGTGGTAGCATGCTTATCCCTTTTGTTAGTCTAAGAACAGTGACCACAGTCTGAAGGAGCACTTCTCAAAATGCAGCTAACCACATCTTACAGAATTAGTAACATCCAGCTGATCCCACTGCTGCAAGGTGTGCACGCCCCAAGGGACCACATGGAACACAAACTGAAGAAGACAAGCTGAGTAACAGAGGTAAGCATTAAGGCAACTAGAGTAACAAATCCAAGAACCATAAGTTTAGCACCTCTTCTCTTCGCCTCTATTTGCATATTTGTTTGAACAGTTACAACTCCTAAGCAAGTACAGTCAGCTGGGTACCTGGTCATCACACACACACAGATTTGAGGTTGTGTCCCTTTACAGACTACAGGAAATGCTGAAGTCAGATCCAGGTGTGGGCTTCTTGGAGAACCTATCGACTGCAGTGTATTCCTTCTGCATTTGCCTTGTACCTCTGTTCAGGGGTGGGATGCCTGGGCTCCAGAGTGGTGGGGTATGTGGCATTCAGATCTACTGCAGCTGCTGGAGAATGCTTCTCCTTGTGGAAGCTTCCACTCTCTGTGAAATACAGCTTGGGTCTCTGGTGGTACTTCAGCCTGTAGGTGTCAGTCATGCAGCTGTCTACGGAGAAGTAAGTGGTCAGGGACACGCTGTCGTTCCCATCCGCATAGGCAGGGCTGGGTCCCGTGTGACGAGATCCTTTCTTCAGCATGTTCTCAGACACGGTCCAGAACTCATTAACTGATAAGCGAGGTGGAGAATCCGGTTTGTGAACAAACACTTCGTTCCCTGGAAAGGGCTCTTTAAGCCTTTGTTCAGCTGGGACCGCACTTGCTTCTGATGCGGATTTTGAAGGTGCACCTGTTTGCCTCAATGGACTATTTCGCAACGCTTCCGTTGATTTTACATCTGCTACCGAGTTATTCTCTGATCCTGCCAAAGTGCTCAGAGCGTATTTCTTCGGGGGTAAGGGGGGAGGAATGTTCTGGTACACGGCTTCAGGCACCCAGAGGGGATCCGCTCTCCGCAGCGGGTGCCCCGTGTGCTCGCCGGGAGGGGCGGGCGGCACCGCCGGCCTTTCCGGCAGGCTCTGAGGTGCACAGGGCACCAGCCCCACCTTGGCACCCAGAGTGTGATGGGCCAGACTTCTTGTGTGATGGGACTGCAGCTGGGCAGGAGGGGGAAAGTCGCCGTGGGTGGGCTTCCTGCCGCAGGCATTGTCTGGGAAGGGGTGGGGCACGCTGTCCCCGCAGTACACGGGCACGTTCAGCTTCTCAAGCCTCTCTACGTGAAGCCACTCGCAAGGGTTCGGCTCGTTGGCCTTGTTCCTGCTGTCTGACTTCACAATCTCTTTGACAGCT